GCGCGCTGGCCGCGCCGTCTTTTCGGTCCCGGCGGCGGCAGCGCTGAGCCAGCGGCGCCCACACTCCGGCTCTCCGCGCCTGCACTCCGCTGTCCGCCCGCTGCGCCGCCACCATGACGGAGCAGGCCATCTCCTTCGCCAAGGACTTCCTAGCCGGAGGCATCGCGGCCGCCATCTCCAAGACGGCCGTGGCCCCGATCGAGCGGGTCAAGCTGCTGCTGCAGGTGCGGGGCGGGCCGCGCGCGCTCGGGGGGCCCGGGGCCGGGCTGCCGGGGCTGCAGGAGGGTCGGCGAGAGCAGGGCGGGCCGGCCGCGTGCACCGGGACCGGCCAGGCGCGCGGGCGCCGGAAGTGGGAGGACGCGTCGCTTTGTCCGCGCGCCGCCGGGTTCCGGGGCCGGCCGCGCGTCACGTGGGGGCTGCCGCATGCGCGGGGGTGGGGCCTCGGGCGCGCACGCGCGGGCGGGGCCGGAAGGGGTCCTTCGCGCGTGCTCCCGGGACCGGAGCCCCCCAACCCCACCGCCGGGGGCGAACGGACCGCGGGAGCCCCGCTGCTGCCGCCTCGGTCGCTCGCCGGGTCTGGTCCTCGCTCTGAACGGGTTTGCGCGGCTGCAAACCCGAGGGAGCGCGCTGGTGGCAACATTGTTGCAAAGCGTTCCGGTAGCGACATTGTTGCGGCGGCGCCGTTTACGAGCTCGGTAAAGGGGTTTCCCGGGCTGTGAGCTCTCCCGACCAGCCAGCGCGCTCAGATGGCACGGAGTAGTTCCCTAGGGACGGCTGCGGGTACCGGGTGGACGCCCTCTTGCGAGCCTGTCCGTCCGTCCTGCAGGTGCAGCACGCCAGCAAGCAGATCGCCGCCGACAAGCAATACAAGGGCATCGTGGACTGCATCGTGCGCATCCCCAAAGAGCAGGGCGTGCTGTCCTTCTGGAGGGGCAACCTGGCCAACGTCATCCGCTACTTCCCCACGCAAGCGCTCAACTTCGCCTTCAAGGATAAGTATAAGCAGATCTTCCTGGGGGGCGTGGACAAGCACACGCAATTCTGGAGGTATTTTGCCGGCAACCTGGCCTCGGGTGGGGCCGCCGGAGCCACCTCGCTCTGCTTCGTCTACCCCCTGGATTTCGCCAGAACCCGTCTGGCCGCGGACGTGGGCAAGTCCGGCACCGAGCGGGAGTTCAAGGGCCTGGGAGACTGTCTGGTGAAGATCACCAAGTCCGACGGCATACGGGGCCTGTACCAGGGTTTCAACGTCTCGGTGCAGGGCATTATCATCTACCGGGCGGCGTACTTTGGCGTCTACGACACAGCCAAAGGTCAGTGTGTCCTTGTGTTGGGGCTTTAACATGAATTTCAGGGTGCACTGTTGACACCCCGAAAGCGAGCCTAGGCGTGCTAGCGTCGAGGGCTGGGGTCTCTGCAACAGAACAGCCTCACGTGTGGTGTGTGTGCTTCTCAGGGCTTGTCTGATCCCTGCCGTACAGAGAAGCCGCTCCCAGGCACTAAGTCTGGGGCTCTGGGACTGTCCTGGACCTGCGGGTGGTTCCTCCACCTTCCCACCGCCCCCAGCAGGCCCTGTAGCGGAATCTGTCGTGATACCAGTGTTACCTGGTACTGGGAGCTCCCTGTGGAGCCAGGGTGGGTAGTACCGGTCTTGGACTGTTGTGTGTGCAGCGCTAGGATCTAACACTGGCTGGTGACCCCGCAGGCATGCTCCCAGACCCCAAGAACACCCACATCGTGGTGAGCTGGATGATCGCCCAGACCGTGACGGCTGTGGCGGGCGTGGTCTCTTACCCCTTCGACACTGTGCGGCGGCGGATGATGATGCAGTCAGGGCGCAAAGGAGGTATCTTGTCTCAGTCCTGGTGACAGTGGCTCATTCTTGGGAGATGAGAAAATGCGAGAGCTCCTTGAACGAATGGCCCTTTGGCCTCAGCCCTCGGGAGGCGTGAGCTAGCACACAGGTGTTTCCCAGGGAAGTTAGGGGCAAAGTTTTGTGGGCTGCCTTCACAGGGTCTGGGGGTGGGGGGGCTGGTCAATGACAGTAATTCTCCAGGCAGCTCCAGACCTACACAGCCCTGCTGGGTACCTGCCTTTCCTTTGCTCTTGTCTCTCAAGAGTGGCCAGAGCCCTTGTATTGACCCCAGGGGTGGAGATGGGGCTCCACGGTGGCTGGCGGCTCGAGTTTCTGGAATGATCATCCCTGTCCACCTCCCTGCCCACAATCTTGGGCTGGACAGGGGCCATAAACCTGGCCCATTGGTGCGCAGACCCTCATTTGTTCCTGTGATCAGAAAACCAGTTCGTTCCGAGAGTAATCTCCGATTCGGTGTCTGTAACGTGTCTTCCGCGGTTCCCTTTGTGCCCCTTCCCAGAACAACATCCCAGTCAGCTCTCGTCTCTGTCTCTTGCAGCGGACATCATGTACAAGGGGACGATCGACTGCTGGCGGAAGATCCTCAAAGATGAAGGGGGCAGAGCCTTCTTCAAGGGCGCGTGGTCCAACGTCCTGAGGGGCATGGGGGGCGCGTTTGTGCTGGTCCTGTATGACGAGTTGAAGAAAGTCATCTAGACGTTCCTCCTCCAGACGTGGGGACCCAGGCAATCCTGTAGAATACTTGTAACTGTTACGGACCATTGATCTTCGAGAAATTCCAGTGTCCTTGTCCCAGCCAGATCATGTGTAGAGGGCTGGGGAAGGTTCCAAAGGGGGCTCATTGTGATCAGCCATTGGCACCAGATTCCGTGTATTGATTATGGGGGGGAGGGGAATCAGGAGGTCTTCGTGGGTCCACAGGCTGGCAGCTCTGCCGCACAGACCTTCGAGGCCGGGTGCTTGTGGGACCCGAGTCGTGTTTAAGTATTTATTTAAAAAAAAAAAATTGTTTCCATTTGTACTTAAGCACTATTCTCTTTTGCACAACCGAATATTTACAATTATGTGTCATGTCAGGCATTCTGCTGCAAAACCATAAAAAACGGGACACAGAGACTCTGGTGGTTCGTTTTCAACTAAGCGGTCTTGTGGCGTTGGGGTGGGAGGCACGATTGGGGCCACGTTCTGCCTTTTGTTGGGTCGTCCAGCAGCCTTGCGGGATGGCATTCGTAGCACCCCAGCAGGGAGGGGATGGAAACTGAAACGCACATCACATCTCAGGCCTGCGTAGCTCAGAGAGGACCGCCCCCCCTTGGGTGGTAGACCAATGTGGGGAGCCTGGGGGCATCTGAGCCTCCCTGCTCCAGGGATCTTTGAGGAGACAGACCTTCCTTAACCTTCCATGAGCTGCTGGGGCCTCTTAAGTCCCCCATTCAAGTTAGTTTTCCCGCTGAGAAAAGCCAGCCCAGAGGTGGCTGCAAGTAGCCACATCCTGTGACCCATGTCAGCCCTGGCTACTCAGGCAAGAATCCATGCAGGCAGGCCCCAGACACTGGGACAGGTCCACATCCTCTTACGGAGCCATTTCTGCACAAACACCAACATTCACTGCAGGAGGAAAGTCTCCTCCAGGCTGAATGTTGGATCCTGGCATTGCTTTGGGGGGACCTGGGCTAGAAAGACCCCAACTGAGGGTTCTGGAACCTCTCCAGGGCTGGGGCATCCGGGATGTGGAAGGCCAGTTTCCTCTTCAAGACTGGTGGGTGCAAATGCTTGTTTCTGCCACAGCCGGGGTGGAGGGGGGCGGGTGTCCACTTAGAGATGAAGTTTGAACTTTGCCCAGGGTCGTGAGGCAGTTTAAAAGGGGTCAGGACGGGACTGTGTGCCCTTAATGCCCATGTTTACCCTGCCCAGCTCCACAGAGGAGCCTCGTTGGGAACCTCAGCTTCTGACCCACTTGAGCCCTGGTGTTCTGGTGGACGTTGCCTCCTGCCTGGAGCCATGTTAACCACTGGATTTGGAGACCTGTTTTCACCCTCTGTTCATCTCAGCTAGCTGAACAGTCCCATTTATGCAGCCAAGCCCTTCTTAGCTGTCAGGTCCCCAAATACCCACGGGTGCTGGTGGTCTCAATAGTATTTTTGCGAAGACGCTGGGGTGCTTTCTGGCACGGCTGGTTCGGCAGTGTTAGGGTGCTCGCTTACCGCCCTACAGGAAACGTTCCAAAGGGGAAGCGGTCCCTCAGTAAATGCCGAGGGGGGGGTGTGTGTGTCCAGGGAGCCCTGCCCCTGGGAGACCCAGGCTCCTGTGAGGCAGGCGGTGTCCACGGGTTTACAGCGGTATGTCGAACGTGGCTCCGTGTCAGGCGTCCACGCTGTGGGCAGTGCAAGTCAGGCCACGCTGCGGGGGACGGTGTTGGCGGACAGCCAGGCCCCCCGAGCGTCCCAGGTGCTGCTCTCCCCATCTCGGGGGGTGTGTGGCGGCCCCTCCGTGTCAGGTGCTTACACTGAACGCGGCAAGAAGACCAGTCAGAGAACCAGGCGTGGCCACTGCAGGCACTCGGACCAACCAGTCCAGCCGACTTGTTAGCGGCAATCTGGATGGGGCCCATTTCAGGAGACCCGAGAGAGGGGCCCAGGGGGCCCACCATGGCGGGCTGTCTCCCACCCCTGGAGTCCAGGGACTGGGTGGAAACGGCGTTTATTTACAAAATGAGCCTGACACAACTTGCTCGTGGCGGCTCCGCGGAGTGTGCCCTGGGGTGTCCCTCCCCCCACCCCCATACAGTCGTCCGTTGGTCCAACGGCAGCCAGGCTGTGCGGGCACCTGGCCGTGTGCCGAGGAGGTCTGAGGTCCCGTGTCATGTCTCCCCCAAAACCTGCACCTCCGCCACCGGGCAGTCCTCCCTGCTTGCTCTGCTGGCCTCCCAGGCCACCTGCAGGGGACAAGGGAGTCAGGCTGAGCCGTAGAGCTGCAGACTTGCAAGCGAGGGTACCACCCCGACCCGGAAAAACCGCAGGAGGCTGACCGGCCCTGGGCACTTGGGTCACCAGGGCTCCAGGCCTTGTCTGCCTGCAGGAGCGCCTCGGGGCGAGCGTCCATCTCACGTGACCGTCAACCGGCAGCCTCCCCCTGCCTCCCGCCAGGACCAACACACAAGCATCCTGCTCCCCAGGAGGGGCTGTGGCCACCCTGTCCCAGACCCACCCACCGCACCGCCAGCAGAAGCCCTGACGTACCAACTTGCTGCCCTCAAGGTTGTCAGTGATGGGGTCTTTCATGTGAGGGATAGGAGGGAAGAGCTTCTGCAACACTGAGTACCTTGGAGGACAGAGAGAGACACAGGCTCCGAATCCAGAACTCGGGGGTCTCTGGACGCCAGACAGAGCTGCAGGCTCTGAACCCAGAACTCGGCGGGGGGGGGCACCGGATGCCAGGGAGAGCCACAGGCTCCGAATCCAGAACTCGGGGGTCTCTGGACGCCAGACCCAGCCGCAGGCTCTGAATCCAGAACTCGGGGGGCACTGGATGCCAGAGACACAGGCTCTGAAAACAGAACTCGGGGGCCCCCGGATGCTGGGTTGGAGTTAGGACGCTAGTCCCAGGGTGGGGGGGGGGGGGCTGGTCTCTACCGCCTGCCTCCAGCACCAGGTCCTACAGCCAGGAGCAATCCTGGTCCACAGGGGCCGAGTGCTGATCTGCCGCTGGGGCCCGTGCACCCCACCCCGGCCCCTGCCACAGACCCCCCGGCCCCAGGCTGCTGGCCTGGGCGGACCCTGCCACTCCCCATGGCTTGCACACAGACCAGTGGCCCCTACCTGAGCAGGAGGCCCATCCACGCCCAACGCCCGAGCCCCTGGGCTGGGCGGCTCTGCCTGAAGCGGCTGGGAGGGGCGTGGGTGCAGCCAGACAGAGGCCAGAGCCCCCAGGGACAGACCCCGAGGCCCGCCCGCCCGTGGGACAGGACCTGGCGGGGCTCTGCAACTTGGCATTTGGGAGGCGCCCCAGGGGCAGGAGTTGCTATCCGGTGGGAAAGGTCAGGATGACCCCAGCGCTGGCCCCCTGCCTGCTGCGGAGATGAGGGAGGGGGACGAGGAAGGCGGCTCCCAGACTCACCCCCTGAAGGGGGTCGGGGATGGGGAATCTGGGCCGGGGTGCGAGGCCGAACAGTGGGGACACATGGGGACACGCAGGTGAGCCTGGCTGCAGACCCGGCCCTCCCCTCGAGCTAAGGGTCTGAGGAGGGAGGGTCCTGAGGATGCCGGGCCGGCCCCCAGCTTCTGGATTTCCAGGGGCGGGAGGGACCAGAACAGAGTCATGTCTCAGAAGGACCCCGGGGACGCTTCAGGCGGCAGGCTGCTCCCTGGGGGTGTCGCGGTCCTGCAGGTACGACCCGCACGCGGTGGCAGGAGGGGTGGGACGGGGCGCGGCGCCCCGCGGGGAGGCCAGCAAGGTCGTAGGGGGCGGTGCACTCACCTTCCACACAGCACGACCGCGAGTCCCGGGACCAGCAGTGTTCCCAGCAAGACCAGCGTGGTCAACAGCCAGTTGGGCCACTGCGAGCCCTCCCCGAGGTCGCACACTATGAGAGAGGGTGGACGGGGCACGTCAGCAGGTCCCAGGGCTGGTGCTGGCACCCAGCCCCGAAGCCTTCCCCAGGGGCGCCCCGACAGGCAGCAGGCACTCGGGCGCGTCCGGGAGGGGGCAGTGGCCCCCTGCACAGGGGGCCGGCCACAGCGCCGCCACACCGAGGCCCCCACCGCAAGCCGCTGGGGCACCTCCCAAATGCCACACCTCTTGCAGCCGAGCCCCGGTCCTAGACCGCGAGCATTCCCCTGCAGCCTGGCCGGGAGGGGGAGCCCCTGACGCACCGATCTGCAAAGGCCTCAGGCTCCCCTCTGGGACAGAGGGGCCCTGTGGGGGAGTTGTGAGTTTTCTGGGGCTGCCACAACCAGGTCCCACAGACAGGGTGGCTGAAACAGCAGATACCTGTGGTTTCACTGTCCTAGAGGCCGGGAGTCCGAGACCCAGGCGGGGCCGAGGCGGGCTCCTCCTAAGACCTCTCTCCTGGGCGTGTAGACCCTGTGTTTTCCCCGTGTCCTCACGGGGTCGTCCCTGTGTGCGTGTCTGTGTCCTCATCCCCTCTGCCTATGAGGACCCCAGTGCTATGGGATCAGAGCCCACACTACTGACCTCATGTTACCTTAACCACCTCTTTAAAGACCCTACCTCCAAATACAGTCTCATCCTGAGGTCCTGGGGCTGAGGACTTCAATAGGTGAATTTGGAGGGACACATTTGAGCCCACAGCAGAGGGTCTTTGCAGATGGAATCAAGTAAACGTGAGGTCCCAGTCAATAGGATGGGCCCTAATCCAATGACGAGTGTCCTTATAAAGGGAGGAAATTTGGACACAGAGAGACACAGAGGAGAAGCCACGTGAGGACGGAGGCAGAGATGGGAGGGACGGTGACACAAGCCCAGGGGCACCTGAGCCCCAGAAGCTGGAAGAGGCAGGGAGGACCCTCCCCTGGAATCTCCATAGGGAGCAGGGCCCTGCCCCGCCTGGATCTCAGCGGTCCTGCCCCGCCTGGATCTGAGACTCTGGTCTCCAGAGCTAGAGGAGGATGGATTCCTGTGCTTTTAAGCCCCCTCCCCAACAAGGTGTGGTTATTTATTGCAGTAGCCCCATGACCAAGGTTTCCTATGTGCCACCTCTGAAACAGGACGTTCTTGGGGGAGCCCAGGAGGAGGGTCTGGTTTCAGAACAGGTCAGGGAGAAATGGCAGCTCTTAATTTAGGGGAAATCCTTCTATAATCAGGCCCAAGAGCCATGCCAGGGACCATGTTGGATAAAAGAGGAAGTCGTGTGCCTGCTGACAGCAAGCCATGGGGGCTCTAACTGGGGGTCTTGTTCCTCCCCCTCTCTGCCCCCCCCATGGGGTGAGCACAAGGCGCAGGGTCAGCTGTTGTCTTCAGAGCCGTCTTTGGGGACACCGAAGCGCGTGGAGCTCGATTCTGGCTCCTTTGGCGGCGGAGCATCCAAGAGCAGGGATGAAGAGCCCGTCTGAGCGTGCGAGGGGTCTGTGCTTCCTTGACCAGGGCTGGTGCCCCCCCCCAGCATCCGGCGCACATGAGGGAGAGGTGAAAGGGCGCCCCACTCACCAAAGTACTGGGGGGCACTCCACTCGCTCCATGTGTTGCGGAAGAAACCTTTCACCTTTAGTCTCGCCATGTAGTTCCCGGGATTGTGAATCTGGAAGAAGTTTTCCTGGAGCTGAGGTTGAAAAGGAAAGAAGGAACGGCTATTCCCGGTTGGCAGGGAGACAACGGGGCCCTGTCGCGGGTGGAGTGGGTCCTCCCCTGAACTCGTGCGTGAACGTTCGCACCCCGTAGCGCCTCCGAAGCTGCCCTCCTTTGGAAACAGGGTTGGAGGAGATGCAATCGGTTAAGGAGAGGGCCGCTTGGGTAGGGGGGGCTGTAATCCATTACCACTGGTGTGGTTACGGAAAGGGGGAATTTGGCAACAGACACACTCACTCACACACTCACACACACACACACCGGGGGAAGACCGTGTGCATGATGGTCTCCCATCATGCCAAGGAGCCCCAGAAGCTGGGAGAAAAGCCTAGAGCCTCCGGAGGGACCGAGGTCCTGCCCCATCTGGATCTCGGACGTCTGGTCTCCCTGACCTGGAGAGAATAGAGCTGTGTTTTAAAACCCCCAGTCTGGGACACGAGTTATGCCAGATGTCCCCCCACCGGGGGAGCTAACACAGGCCCTCCAAGAGAGCAGACCCGACCGGCCTCGATCAGGGACGATGCCTGCACTTCAGAGGGGCCCAGATCCTGGAGCCCCCTACCTTTCTCAGCCCAGGCTCTTGGTGTCCAAACAAAAATGTTCTTCGTCATCACTGGGAGGTAAAGAACCCAGGGACACCCTCAACGAGGCCAAGATTATGGTGCCATGAGTAGGTGTTGTGCCCTGCCAACTTATGAATGGGGACCTCCCCACCCCGTTCCCCAAGAAAGATATGTCCCCTCCCCCCGGAGGCTGTAGTCGGGACCTTCTTTGCAGATGTGCTTACGTGAAGGATCTCGGGATGACCTCATCCCGGATCAATGAAGCTCTACGTCCAATGACAAGTACCCTAACAAGGGACAGAAGTGGAGACAGACACAGAGGAGAAGCCACGTGAGGACAGAGCTTCATCTCCGAGCTGTTTCCACTCAGCACAGACTCCTGGAGATTGCCAGATGGGTGAGCGGGGTCCCCACACAGAGTCGGGCACCGCGGAGTAGCTGGACAGTAAGAAAAACACATTTGTGATGCCCAGTTCAGGGAGGGTGGGGGACACTCACCTTCTCTGTGTAGGCGGGATCGCTGCCCTACAAAACAGGAGTGGAAATTGGTGGGTGTCTGATGCTGTCCCCTGACGAAGGCCCTTGTTTGAGCCCTTTTAGGTTTATACAGAAACCGAGTACAAAATAATCAGGGACTGAGTCTAAATGATCCATATCATATATAAATATCATATATAAATATGAGTATAAAGGAGGGATTAACTAAAAAGTACCTGGTCTTTTTTTTTTTAATGGAATTAATAACCTTTATCCTTCTAAGCAGTTTTAGGTTTACAGAAACATTAGGTATAATCACTAGTTGAATATAAATAATAAATAAATACACAAAGAAGAAACATAATACATTTAATAACTGAGTATGAAATACTAATTAGCTCAAAACATTCTGTCATTTTCTTTTAACTTATAGACTTATAATTTTTTTAAGTTTATTTATCCATAGTCTCTACACCCAACGTGGGGCTCAAACTCACGACCGCGAGATCCAGAGTCGCACGCTCCACCAACTAAGCCGGCCTGGCGCCCCCATACTTGATCATTTTTTAAGATAACTTTATTCAGGCACGATTTGCTTGAGCAAACCACACATTGAAAGCATAGGATTTGGTGCGCTTTGAGAAATGTTGTGCACATAAAACCACCTCAGCGTTCCAGGTGAGGAACGACCCCGTCATCCCCAAATTTCCCTATGCCCCTCTGTCATGCCTTCCTCCCTGCACACACCCAGAGCACACGTGTGTCCCTCACTATAGGTCATTCTGCATGTTCTATGCTTCTGTATATAAATGGGATCCTCTAGGGTGGACCTCGAGTCTGGCTGACGTTCCCTGGGGGTTCGGACTCCACAGAGCAGATATATTTTGTTCGTCCCTTCTCTCGGGTTGTTCCCAAACTCAGCTGCTATGAACACGCAGGACCTCACTTTGGTGGGCTTATGTTTTCATTATCCTCGGAGCCAGACCCCGCACGGGATTGGCTGCCTCCACGAGATACTACCAAAGCCTCTTTCCAAAGTGCCTGTGCCATTTTTTTCTTCAAAAGATACGACTTTATCCTGGCTCTTAACAATACGGAGAATGTTCATCCACAAGGGACATCTCAGAGAAGAAGAAGCCACGTATATCATTTTAAGTGGTCACCAGTTTGTGACAAGCAAGTGTTGTAATCAACTGGGTGACAGCCTCACCCACCCTTGGTTTGGCCAGACTTGGTCGTTTTAGCCAAATCTGAGGTGTGGGGAGAGTGGCCTCTCCCTGCGGTTTGTGTTTCTGTGGCACCTTTTCATGTGTTTATGGGGCAAGGATACATCTTTGGGGAAGTGGTTGTTTCAACTTCTTGCCCCCCTTTTTTTTTTAAATGCGGTTCTTTGTCTTCTTGGTATTGACTTGGAAGCCTTTCTCATGCCCCCCAAACATGAGTCCTTTGACAGACAAATACGCACCTGGTTTCTTCCATCTGTGACCTGCATTTTCAATTTCACCTCTGTATTGTGAATAGCCAACATTGTTTCTTTTGTTAAAGCTAATTTTTTTTTTTTAGGGTTTGTATATTTTCTCTTGATGATTTTCACACATACAAAAGCTTACATGATCTTTAATTTTTTTCAGTTTTTTTTTTTTGTCCTAACATTCTTCATTTTTATGTAGGGTTTATGTTTTTATTTTTTTATTTAAAATTTACGTTTTATTTTTATTTATTTTTTTACTTTATTTTTATTTGTGTTTATTTTTAAAAGACTAAAAACTTTTTTTTGATTCATATTTTTTTGTGTGTATGTTTTATCTGCCCCCAAAGCTTTGGGGTACGGATTCTAGAGAATCTAGAATTGCCAGCTAGGACAAGCATTTACCTTTTGTATTTGAAGTTGATACTCAAATCTGAGATTGACGTGGCTTGACGCTTTCCATTCCATCATCGAATATGATTTGTTACACATCGCAGTGATGTTGGGTGGACTTAATCTCTCTAGGACAGGAGGAAGAAAAAAAACAAAGAGACTTGAATGAGTAAACCAAATCAACATTTCCCCCCTCCGCTCCCAGAAGATACTTCGAAAACAGGCTTCATAGAAATTTAGGGTGGTGGGGAGGAGAGGAAAAAGTCATTCCAAGGTTAAAGAATGGGCAAAATATCTATAGAGATGCATGACAAAATACGTTGAGATATCTATCCACTTGGATTAGCCTTAGGTCTAGCTGCTCAGAGCCTGGGAGAGACCCCCAGCCACCCTGGGACCCTTCTGGAAAGCACTCTTTAGGTCTGTGCCTTGGACGTCCCCAGGTCCGGTGGCCTGGCCCGCTCCCCACCCTGCTCGGGGTACGTCCCATTTCCAAAGCCCTTGGCCGGCCAGCTGTACTCCCAGAAACATCTGTCCTCTTCACGTTCTCCAGGCCCTGCCTGCTGTAGCCAGGTCGTCCCCGGACGTCCTGCCCCGCCTTCTGGGTGCCGAGACCCACCTGGCCGGCCCCGTTCGGGTGCTCTGCCCTCTGCCCTCCTTCTGGGCCTTCAGCCTCCCCTGACTTCATGGTTTCGCCAAGCTTCCGACGTGGCCACGTCTGAAACTACACCCCAGGTCTGACCTCCACTGGGAGCCCAGCCCTGGGTCCTCACCTGCCTGCAGAGTGGCCTTCCACCTGGACCCCCGGCTGAAAGCTCACTACAGGGCAGGCCCCAGCTCCGGGTCTCCTCCCCCCGCCCCCACTAACCCACCTGCTCTTCCTCTCTGCTGGCCCTCGCCCTCCTCCCCCTCCCCCTCCCCCATTTATGACGTCACCCTGCCCCCAGGCTCCCTCAGTCCTGCCTCTACCACAGCAGCATGCACAGAATCCATCCACAAAGTAGCCTCAAAACCAACTCCCCTCCCTCCTCCCCGCAGCCAACCGGGCCCTGCCCGTCTGGGGCCACCTTGCTGTGGGACACGCCCACCCCCACCCCCACCCCCACCCCACCAAAGGCCTTGTCCCCTCAGAAGCAGGAGACAGGGCGTGAGGCCTGCTTGGGAGGGCGCGCCCATTGGCAGGGCCAGGAGAGTGCGGCCAGGAAGGCAGGCGCACCCCGAAGGCCAGGTAAGTCAGTCCTGCTGGGGAACAACCCTGAAGACAGCCCAGAACCCACCTGCTAGGAGCCACCCAGCCCAGGCGAGGGAGCAGGGTTACCCACCAGCCCCTCCGACTTTGGGCAGAGTGCTCACATCCTGCCTGCCTGTGGGCTGAAAGACTCTGGTCACAATATAACAGGCACAGGCAGGGTCCCCTCGTACACCTATGGCTCCTTGTGGGAGGAAGGGCCAGGGACAGGGTGAGACGTGAGTCACTTTCTACAGAGCTCTACAGGGAGGGGAATGGCCACCCCCAAATGGTACATCCATGTCAAATCGCTAAAACCTGTGAATGGGATCTTGTTTAAAAACAGGGTCTTTGCAGGTATAATAAGGGAAGGATCTTGAGATGATGTCCTCCTAGATCACGGTGGCCCTGAATCCAATGACAGGTGTCCTTGTAAGAGACAGAAGAAGAGACACGGACACAGAGGAGAAGCCACTTGAGGATGGAGGCAGAGACGGGAGGGACACGGCCACCAGCCCAGGGACGCCTGGAGCCCCAGGAGCTGGAAGAGGCAGGAAGGACCCTCCCCTGGAGCCTCAGGAGGGAGCACAGCCCTGCCCCGCCTGGATCTCAGAGGCCCTGCCCCGCCTGGATCTCCAGGGCTGGGGGATAAATTCCTGTGCTTTAAGCCTCACGGTTTGGGATCATTTATTAAGGTACCAACTGGGAAATAATAAAGCACCACGGCCCTATTCTCTTGGTGTCAACGGGCAACATCCGGGACCCTCTTCAGCAGCCACCCCTGCAAGCCTGAACCTGGCCCATCGCAGCACAGAGCTGTGTGTGACTGATGTCCTTGCACATGGCCCCAGGCTTGGGTTCATGCTCTCCCGGTGCCATGCTGAAATGGCTAGTAACGGTATTGTATTCATTTCCCAGGGCTGCCTGGTAGACCACCAACGGGTGGCTTGAACCATAGAAATATGTGTCCTCGCAGTTCTGGAGACCAGAAATCTGAAACCCAAGTGTCCACAGGGCTGGTTCCTTCTGGAAGCTCAGAGGGAGAATCTGTTCCAGGCCCCTTTCCCACGTGGGGTGGCTCCTGGCGGATCCTTGGCGTTCCTGGGGTATAGACACATCACCCCCATAGCCTCCCATAGTCTTCCTGTCTGTCTTTGGATTGGCCTCTGTGTCTCCTCCTTTTCTTGTAAGGGACCGCCATACCGGATTAGGGCCTGCCTGTAATAAGAGCAAAGACCCTATTTCCACATAAGGTGGCATTCACAGCTGCCAAGATGTGGACAGGTCTTTTGAGGGGACAACAGGCATTTTTCAGTTTGTGTTCCTGGGGAATAATGGAGCATGCACTGGGGACACGGAGCCCCCAGTTCCCATTTGACCCCTCCGTGCATCCCCACGGGGCTCTCAGACACCCACCACCCCACTGCACTAACCACTGTCTCCACCCACCCCTGCTGGGAGCTGGGGTGAGGACACAGGGGTCCAGGTGGGAGCGTGCATTGAGTTGCAGGTGGTCCCGGACACGGTCTGGATGTACCAGTGAGGGCCCCGTGTCTGAGGGAACAGTGTCCAATCAGTGCCAGTAAAGCATGGCATGGAGCTCAAGAGGCAGGAGGCCACAGACAAAGGAAGAGTCCCCCTGCTTTTCAAACAAGAGGCCTTGCCTTTTTCCCCTCTGCACCACGTCTCAGTTCATGTGGCCGGCCGTGTGCTTGCTTACCCCACGTGGACCCGCCAGGGCAGGCCCAGGCTCCCGGAGGCTGAGAGCTGTCACGATCTGGGGAGGGGTCCAGTTAAAGAAAATGGATGGGGACATAGCTTTGTTACGACGGGGTTTGTGTTCCAGAAACCCATTGGCATGTCAACGCAGGGCCGTGACAGGTGCCGTGGGCATATGACTCTCACCCCTCTCCAAGACTTGTGACTTGGAGGCATGTGTCCCTTGTGTTGTGGGAATGTTCCAGAAGCAAGCGGGTTACTTCCTTAGGTGCAAGGAGCTCATAGCCACCGCTAGGAGCTGAACGCATGTCATCCCCAAATGCACAAGCCCTGGCCCCCAGTGGGATGGCATTCAGAGGTGAGCCTTCAGGAGGTAATTAGGGTTACCTGACATCATGAAGGGGGGGCCCCCATGATGGGACTCGGGTCTGGATAAGCAAAAGAGAACGGAGCTCCCTTTCTCTCCCTCATCCCCCACGTGAAGTCACAGTGAGAAGGCTGCCAGGTGCAAGCCAGGAAGAGGGACCCTCACCAGGAGCCAGATCTGTGGGCCCCTTAAGGTCGGGCTTCCAGCTGCCAGAACCGAGAGAAATCACGTGTCATTTCAGCCAGCCGTTTGGGGTTATTTTGTTACAGCCCCCTCAGCTCAGACACCAGCATCCCAGAGCCGAGGGTACAGCCTGAGAGCCGTGTCCTTGACCCGTACTCACCAATTTCTGATAATTCGACAGAACGGTCCAAGCAGGGGATCCTGGCGCCGTGGCTTGTGCCTCTCACCAGGATCTGGAGCTGTTTCGGCAATCTGGACACATCATTGAAACGACACCGGACGTGTTTCCCCCGATCATCCGTTTCGTAATGTGGACACTCCTGCTCCCTGTGGGTCCTTCGGTAAGGAGGGAGCACCCAGTAACGACCCAGCAGCCCCATGTGCCTGGGGAGAGCCCAGCCGTGCCATGGCCACACCTACCTCAGCGCCTGCCAGTACAGGCGATACTGCACATCACTGGGGGCCTCCCTGCCCACCTCCCAGCTGCACGTCAGGAAGTCCACATCGTGCACCCAGCAGTCCAGACGTTGTGCGGCCGCCCCAGGGTTTCCTTCTGCACTTGCAAAGGAGGTGAAAAGAAGAGCAAATCCCCTTTCACACACACAGTTACAGGGACAAACACAGAGCTATGCTGTGGAGGCTTGACCCAGTTTCCCGTGACGATAACCCTTGGAAAACATGGTTGTGTGGTATCTCCAGCCAGATGCCAACACCCATACGCTCAAGATGCAGGACAGTCTCTTCCCCCAAGGGCTCCCCAGATGGTCCTTTTCTCGCCTCACCCCCTTCCCTCCTGTCCATCCTCACCTCCCCCACCGCCAACCACTCATCTGTTATGCATTTGCACACTTCATCAACTCAGGTAGGTCCTATGAATGAAATACTCCTGCAGACGTGATGCCCTAGGGTTGTGTGCTTTTTTTTTTCTCCCCCCGCTCCTTGCAGGTCCACCCAAGCTAAAAGTCATGGTTTTTGTATTCCTACGACCAACCAATGACTGAAGGCAAACAAAACCCAAAGAGGAACACGTTCCGCTCACCTTGCAGAGGATACTGAATCCCCATCAAGAATGGTGGGCCTTTGGTCAAGGAGATGGTGAAGTTTTTCACTTCACATAAGGGAAGTACGTGGAACCGGCAGTAACGGTTGTTGTCGATGGCCTGAGAGAGAGAGAGAGAACCATTTATTCATTGTTGAAAGAACACACGTAGTGTCATGCTGATGAAATTCGGATTTAACAACAACAACAACAATAACAATACCAACAAAACCATAAGTCTCCAGGACTTGCTCCATAGATTCCTCGCAATCTTCATCAAAACCCCAGCAATTTATTTTGTGGCGGCCGACAAACCGGAGACAGTCTATAAATTACTGGTTGGTGGAGAGGGAGGGAGATGTGAACAGGTGAGGAGCACAGGATTTTTTTTTTTTTAGGGCAGTGACATTGTTCTGTATAAAACGTATCGTTCAAACAAAACAAAACAAAACAAAACAAAAAACGTATCATTCTCCATTTGTTGAAAGTCACCAAATCACACACTAAGAGTGACCCTTCGATAAACTGTGCACTCTGGGTGAGGATGATGTGTCCAAACACGTTCATCAGTGGTAACGACTGTGCCATCTGGTGGGGAGGCTCATAGCGGGGAGGCCGTGCCTGTGTGGGGGCAGGGGGTTGGGGGCTCTATACCTTCCTCTCAATTTTCCTGTGAACCTCACACGCTCTGGAAAAAAAGTGAAGTTTATTAATTGTTTAACACTGTACAAAAATTTCTATAAAATAATTACATTTATAATAAATAAATGAATATTCCATGTAAGGAATTCCATTATGAATAAATCGACCCTTTTCTAAGGATCAAATGATAAAAGAAATTGGCATGGAAAAGCTGGGAAAATGAGGAAATAAAAATCGAATGTCACATGGAACAAAAATGAAAGGAAAATACTTATCAAGCTCATGATGGATTCCAGCTTCATACCTGTATTGTATAATAAGTTAATATAAATAGAAAATGATGTGAGGCTCCGAATGGATTAATAAGCAGAAGGTTATTTTCTTAAGACTTTCTTTTTAAGTCATCTCTACACCCAACGTAGAGCTCAAACTCAGGACCGCCTGACATCAAGAGTCGCACATTCTACCAAATGAGCCAGCCAGCGCCCCCAGTTGGTGGAAAGTGTAATCAATAAATGAAGAAGACCTCTATCTAGTTAATCGTATATGTAACAGATTCAACCAGACTAGTTGTTAAATACATATTAACACAACGCATCTGAAGCTCTGGGAAAATGTGCGCCTTTGTGCGGTTTTCGGCACTGATCTAAAACTTCCTTGGATAATTCAGGTGAGGTTCGTAAACACAGTCACTGTCTCTTGTCTGAGGAACTCGGGTTCCATAAAGGCTTCTAAAAGGAAGGTCAGAACAGCAGAATGCGGGGTAGACGAGTGTTTTCCCAAACCTCCCATAGCTGTGCTCAGCGTTGCCTCTGAGCATTCTCTGGCAGCCCGAGGATGGAGGTCTTCATGTATGCAGATCACGAAAACAGGAGTGGGACAGACCCCACCCACTGTGAAGGGGAACCCGTCTCCGTTGAGGACAAACACACCAAACCGAATGGTTCAACACAATATTTACCCATTTGGCCAAGAGCGTAACGTTCAAGTAGCACAGATACATGGGAAAACTGGACAAAAACGCAAAGACCGTTAACAAAACAGAAATGAATTCAATTTAGGGAAAACCAACAGCAGATGAGGGAATGACAACAGGGTCCAGTATCTTGAAACAGTCCTCAGCAATTCCTTCTACATCTTCGGTACCGAGAAAAAATATCTAGATCTCTCCTACATGCAGTTTACGTGCATGGACGTTGTGAAGTAGGAATCCAACTTAATTTTAGTGCATTTTGGAAATTGTGCTGACTTCATGCATACAACACTCTATCGCTTCTATATCGACTCGAAATATCGTCTTAGTTAAAATCCACCCTACCCCACCTGCCACCAATGCATGCTTCTGCTTCCGGATTGTTCCATTTCTTTAATCTATCCATGCATTCTGTCAATCTGATACTTTGGATAATCATAGCTTCTCAGCACATTTGGAGACATCATGGAAAGGCAAATTCCTGATCACTAGTGTTCTTTATCAACATTTCTTGGTTCTTCTGTAGCCTGTGTTGTTCCAGAGTTTAGAGTCAACTGGCCAAGCTCCAATGAAATCCCACCGAGGCTTGTCATGAACTGGATTGTGTCCCCCAAAATTCACGATGAAGCCCTCACCCCAGGACCTCAGAAAGTGGTTGTATTTGGACATTGGGTCTTTAAAGAGGGGATTAAGGTAAAATGAGGTCAGTAGGGTGGGCCCTGATCCCATAGGACTGGGGTCCTTATAAGAAGAGGGGGATGAGGACACAGACATGCACAGAGGGACGACCACATGAGGACAGAGAATGGACATAGTGTGTCTACACGCCCAGGAGAGAGGTCTCAGGAGAAACCAGCCTCAGCCCCAACTTGGATCTCAAGACTCCCAGCTTCAGGCCCACCTGGATCTCAGACTCCCAGCCTCCAGGAGTGGGAGGAATAAATATGTGTTGTATGAGCCCCTTCCTCTAGGGTATTTGTTATGGGGGCCCAGGTTGTGACTTATATTGTATTAAATCAGGAATCATCTCAAGACAACAAATTCATTCTCAAGGAAGTTGACAGGTGCCTCTTCCTCATGAGGCTCTATGAGCTCTGAATGTATTGGATTCTCACCATGGCCCACCCATGGGATCTGTCACAGTTCTCAAGACCCCTGAGCCTCGGAAGATGACACAGTACTAGGTTTGGGTGAGGGGCGGGAAATGGAGGGAAGGCGAGCGCTCACTTTCAGCTGGCTTTGGCTCTCGACCCGCAATCCCTGAACACATTTTCTCACCAACGCTCTCCAGGGGCACCATCTTGGACATCCTCCAGGTGGCAAACCCTGAGCTGTGGTGCTGGGAATAGACCCCACATTCCACACCCAAGCCCAGAGTAGAACCCCCACCTCTGTGATGTCCGAGCTGGACTTGGCCCTGGGGTTCTGCTAGCTCTTAAGTCCCCAAAAGTCACAGAAGCTCCAGTGTGCCAAGTACAGGGAAGTACCTTAGTGATAAGTTTTGAATTTATGAAACACATAATTTCAGAAACATTTCCATGGAGGTCCCAGGTCAGTCTCCTTTCTCCCGGCTCCATCCTTAGGTTCTTAATCAGTAAATTGGGATCTGAAATGTTTAGAGGTCAGAGTTAGAAGAAATACTGCGGATGTTTGAACCCTTACCGCCATGGGAACTTCCTCCCACCGAATTCACCGACAACCTCGGGAAGCAGAATTCTACATGGACAAGGCATTGCTGGGACCTGGCCGAGGCCATCAATCAACAGCGCCTTATTCCGCTCATTAGCCTGCCCTCCCAGTGATGGAGGAAAACAACCCCAAAAGTTGGGTGAAGCCGGTCACTTTCTGCCATCCCCATTTATGTTAAATGTACCTTTTGTGACCATGTTACTTTCCCTGAGAACCGAGAACAAATTCTGGCTTACATACATCTCTCAAGGTCAACGATTCTGGGACTAGTGGTTGCCAATGGCCATCAAAGATGCATTTCCTTTTTTTTTTTTTTTTTTTTTTTACTTTTAAAAAATAAGGCATGGTCCTTAGAATGATATTCATGACCTTCCACGGCTCACGGGCTGTTGGAACAATTCTGATATTGCTGGAAAAACTCCGTGAGTACATACATCTGGTTATGTTTTGAAATGGAATCAAAGCTCACGCATTCCTGCCACAGGGTCCCTGGGAAAGGGGGTCTCTAGTGGCAGACCACAGAGCTCAACGTCTCTCATCAAAGTCTTGCTTGCCCATGTCCAAGGCGCTACTGAGTCATGTTTTGCCAATCAGTCTGTAAAGCTACAACAAATACTTGGTGAGATTTTATCTGTGGCTCCTTTTAAGGACTTACAGGATATGACTTTCATAAACGTTCACAGAGTTTATAAACTGTAAGTATCGTGATTAGTTATCAAGATCAACAGCCTTAGTTTCATAAGCAAGACCAAACCATATCAACACTTTGGTTTCTGCCATTATTTTCTTCTAACATATAAGGACAATGTATTCCTTCACAATAATAAAAAAATTCATTTGGAGAAATTTCTTTTAAGTTGAAAATGTAATTCTTGATAGATTCTTTTTTAATTTAAATTCAATTAACCAACATATAGTACGTCATTAGTTTCAGATGTAGTGTTCAATAATTTATCAGTTGTGTATAACACCCTTTTAAGAGAGTCTTATGCTTCAGGGGCGCCTGGGTGGCTCAGTCGTTAAGCGTCTGCCTTCGGCTCAGGTCATGATCTCAGGGTCCTCATCGGGCTCCCTGCTCCGCAGGAAGCCTGTTTCTCCCTCTCCCACTCCCCCTGCTTGTGTTCCCTCTCTTGCTGTGTCTCTATGTCACATAAATAAATAAAATCTTTAAAAAAAAAAGAGAGCGAATCTTATGCTTCAAAATTTGCACTCAGTCCTGCCAACACATTAAATATCATTAAAACGATATGAAGGATGAAGTAGTAAATATTAATGTTAGTATATTTTATCATTTTAGTTTATTTTTATAAATAACATAAATGTATATAAATTATCAGATATTTAAGGAAAAAATAGTATCATGTGCACAAAAGTTCAAAAAAGAAAGGGTGGGGGCGACGGGAAATATTTTCTGATTCATTTTAGGAGGCCAGCATTATCCCAATATCAAAATCAAAGATATTAAAAGTAAACTCGAGACCAACGCCCTTTATAAACATAGACACAAAATCCATTCAGAAAATATTAGTAAAAAAAACCCAGGAATACATAAACCTGGTAACACCTTACGACCCAAGAGATTTACTCTGGGAATGCAAGGTTTCTTTAACCATCAATATAATTCATCCCCATTAACCAGAGACTAAGGATCTTCTCCATAGAAGCAGAAAAAAAAAAAAAAAACTGACCCAACTTAACAACCATTTGGGATTAAGAAATCTCAGCAAACTGGGTGCCTGGGTGGCTCAATTGGTTAAGCAACTGCCTTCGGCTCAGGTCATGATCCTGGAGTCCCGGGATCGAGTCCCGCATCGGGCTCCCTGCTTGGTGGGGAGTCTGCTTCTCCCTCTGACCTTCTTCCCTCTCATGCTCTCTCTACCATTCTCTCTCTCTCTCAATAAATAAATAAATAAATAATCTCTAAAAAACAAAACAAAACAAAACAAGAAATCTCAGCAAACTAAGAATGGAACAAATCTTCCTTACCCTGATAAATCTATGAAAATCTTTGAGCTAATTCAGACTCAATGGTGAAAGACTAACCACGTCTCCTTAAGACCAGAACAAGGCAAGGCATCTGGTTTAACACTTTTAATCCACCTAGCACTGTACCAACGGCCCTCTTAATGCAATTTGGCCAACGGTGAAGCTTTTAGGGGGCTTCCAGCTTGGGAGGGAAAATGTGAAAATTTTATTGCATCAGCTGCCTCCTTCAGCCTTTGATTCCTAGAAAGCAGCTCACTTCCTACCTGTGGTCAGCGATCCTAGAGTACCCTCAGGCCTGAAGTGACCGCAAAGGCGGCAGCGGACTCTGCCCCAGGACAAGACAGGCAAATCAAAGATAATGCTCAGACCTGGGGGTGTCAGGCTGAGAAGTAGGGGAAGCCCCTTCCCTTCCCAGACATCCCACATCTCCCAACCCCTTGGGCATAGGGTGTGGCCATGTGACTGGGTTCTAGTCCACAAAATTCTACAGGAGACATCACGGTACTTCCAGTTCTCACCCATAAATGCTCCTGGAGATGGTGAAGGACCCTGGATCTTGGAGTAAATAACTGGGACAAAACGACCTGTTCTGAGTCGCACTGTGTCCCCTCAAAATTCATGCTGGAGTCCCAACTTGCAGGACCTCACAATGGGACCTTATTTGGAAATGGGGTCATTGCAGGTGTTAATTCATTAAGATGGGGTCATTCTTGAATACTGAGGAACCTAACACAATGTGACTGGTGTCCTTATTAAGAGGGAACATTTGGACACGAACAGATGCAGAGGAGAAGCCACATGAAGAGGGAGGCAGAGATGGGAGGGATGCGGTCACAAGCCCAGGGACGCCTCGAGCCCCAGAAACTGGAAGAGGCAGGGAGGACCCTTCCCTGGAGTCTTCGGAGGGAGCACAGCCCTGCCCCGCCTGGATCTCAGCGGTCCTGCCCCGCCTGGATCTCAGCAGCCCTGCCCTGCCTGGATCTCAGACTTCTGGTCTCCAGAGCTGGGAGACATAAATTAAGCCCCCTCGGCTATGGTATTTTATTCTGGCCGCCCACGCAGACTTAAATAGCAGGCTTCAGAAGAACAATCCCTTCCTCTCCGTCCCCCACAAAACATCTGAATTCCACCCCTATTTGAGGAAGGAATAAACGTCTAAGGGGTTATGAAATCTTGTGGCTGTCACTGCAGCTGACATCTTCCGGACTGATGTAACCACCAGGTGGATAAGATCCCAGACTGCTGGAGAACCTATCATGCCTGGGGCCCCGGGCTCGGCCCACGTCTGTGTGCCATGGGAACCCGGCGTGGAAAACATGCAGATGGCCTCTGTCTCAGGTCCGCCGCTTACTCGGAAAATTCCTGACAGCGACTGGGTTCCATGCGGACATTCCGGCAGGTCGGCGCGAACCTTCAGAGACATTAGCAGCCCCGTCTTCCTCGTGGCCTTGGGCACACTCAGGGCCCGCACCCAGGCTAAGTCAATGCTCTGTGCTCTGTACCGGGCTTCACTGGCTTCCAACTGGCTCCCTGGGACATTCCCTGCTGCATGCCCATCGGCCGCCCCTGTCCCCTGAGTCTGACCAGACAGCGACAGTCAGAAGTGGGCACAGATGGCTCGGGGATTGTAATCAGCATCTTCTCATCTCACTACTTCTGGTTACTATGGAATCTCATTATCCTTCATTGAATGATCTCATTATTCCCCATCATCATGACGCAATATCGTATGAGCCACATGGAAGGCAAGGAGACCGTACTTTGCCACACGTGGCCTTCTCCTCGGGTGCACGTCTGTGGCTACATGTTCCCTTCTTATAAGGACACCAGTCCTGTTGCATTAGGACCGCACCCTGATGGCCTTATCTCCGCTTAATTCCGTCTGGAAAGACTCCATCTCCAAACACAGTCACAGGTATAGGTTCTGAGGGTGAGGGCTTCCAGGGAGGAGCTTGGTGGGGACACAGGTCAGCCCATAACCAAAGCCTTTCCCGTGACCCTACCCAGGAAGGGGAGACACAGGTGAAACCCAATTTCGCACTGGAATAATGACTCAGGACCAAGGTAGGTGATGCATCTTTGCATTCGAGCTACATTGAAACGCTCAGCACCTCGACCCTATCACAGTCGGTATCCTGGCTATGAGACTGTACCGTGACAGCATTGCAAGGTGATCCCATTGGCGGGATTGGGGTGAGGGGCACATGCGCAGTCTCTGCATCAGCTCTTACAGCTGCCAGTGGATCTATAATGATCTTGACATGGAGTTTAACTGAACACCAAAACACCTGACACACCCACAGACCACAGTTGGGTTTTCGTCCTACCTTCCTCCATTTGCAGCAGACCGGAGACAGACGTCAGAAACACCATGAGCCACACCAAGGCCATAGCGATGTGGCTCCCACGGCAGGGAGGTCATGTGCTGGAAGAGAAGGCACAGTCAGAGTGTGGGACAGGGGAGGGTGAACTTAGGGAAGCTACTGCTCACGAGCCTGGAGCTCCTTCCGGGAGGGAAGGCTCTGGGTATGTGCATGTGTTTGGGCGAGTGTGCATTCGCATACACCCATGTGCATGTGCTCACATTCATGTACGCATGTGTGCATGTGTGTGCATACGTGTATACCCATGTCCACGTGTGTGTTCACGTACATCCATGTGCACATTCGTGTACGCATGTGTACATGTGTGTGCCTTTGCATATACCCATGTCTTTTTGTGTGCATTTGCGTACATCCATGTGCATATGCACACGTTCGTGTACGCATGTGTACATGTGTGTGCATTTTCATATATCCATGTCCATTTGTGTGCATTTGCGTACACCCATGTGCAGGTGCCTGTATTCGTGTACACCCGTGTGTGGGCATTCATGAACACCCACGTCCATGTGTGTGCATTCGCACACACCCACGTGCATGTGCTTGCATTTATGTACACGTAGCGTACCACTACCGTGTGCATGTGTGTGTGCATGTATATGTGCGCACACATGTGTGTGCATACATGTGTGTGTCTGGGTGTGCATGCGTGCACCTATGCCTGTCGTGTGTGTGTGTGTGTGTGTGTGTGTGTGTGTGTGTGTGTGTGTGTGGGCATCCCTGTGTGTATGTCAGCCTGCCTTTAAAGACTTGCACCCTGAGGTCTGAGCATGCTCTTGGCTCCAGCCTCATGCAGAAACCAGGAAAGCACACTCAACACGTGGTACCGGGAAACACTGCCATGACAAAGCCCTGGAAGGAAGTGTCATTAAAAATGTGAAGTCAACACAGATCTAATTTCCTGAATGGGCAGAGTTACGGTAACTGAACCCTTCATGGTCCCAACGCCCTGGCCAGGACCTTCCCAGGGTCCCCGGGAAGCACCCCTCCTCAGGCTGGCTCTCCAGGACCCTCGCCTGGGTGGCCAGCCTCCTGCCCCCACTGGGACCGTCAGCAACAGGGTCTCCTGATGGGCCCCCATTCCTCCCCACAATATTATCGTTGGCAAACACCATTAGTGGCCTGGGGCCAGCCCTCTGTGCCCCTCAGAATTGCCCACAAAATGTGCTGCGTACACACCAACCCATCTGGAAAATCTTAGCCAGGATCAACGAGCTGGGGCCTCAGACTTCCCTGGTCTTGTCCCAGGCATTCACAGCCCCCATCACAGGACCCAACATGGACCCCTCTGGGGGTCTCATCTGCTCCCCTGAGCTCAGCCTTGGGGCTGCAAGGAGATTTCCCATCTTGACAACAGGGCGGACAATGATTTCCAGCAAATGTGAACTCTTGCACGATCTGATAGTGAAAGTGCTTCTTGCCAAACCGGGGAGCACGCCTGAGAGACCCCTTCCCCAGGAGAGGGAGGGAGGTGGGAGGCGCCCAGGAACAGGTGTTTTGTAGTCGATTTGTAATACGGGATGAGCATGCAGACAGAGAGGCATGAGGCTCCAAGTTTCCCGGGGGGCCCCCCAGCCCATATTCACCATAAACCATATGCATCAAAGTTCGGTGCAGGAAATCCACGATGGGGAAAAGCTCGGAGTTTTAAACAGAGTGGCCCGGGCCTTGTCGTTAGTTACTGAAGACAGCTGGCATGAGGCTGCAGACGGTCGGACAGGGTGGGTGCCGATGCGGACACGCATGTCCGGGGCTCTGGAACCCCCATTCGGATGGAGCCCATGGCCAGCCCAGAGGAGAGGCCAGGGGTGTGCGTCCTAGAGCGGGGCAAGGGCCGCCCCAAACAAGGTCCTTGGTGTCCCCGTCTGGCATCATCACCTATAAGACCTTGCTCCTCACGGGACCCACTCAGGGGGAGTCCTGGGGTGACATGCAGGCATCTGTGTTTGAAAAAATATACCTATCTTTTCAAAAAGATTTTATTTATTTGACAGAGAGAGACACAGCGAGAGCGGGAACACAAGCAGGGGGAGTGGGAGAGGGAGAAGCAGGCTTCCCGCGGAGCAGGGAGCCCGATGCGGGGCTCGGTCCCAGGACCCCGGGACCATGACCTGAGCGGAAGGGAGGCGCTTTACCACTGAGCCACCCAGGCGCCCCTAAAAATGTATCTATTAATTAATTTTTTATGGAGGTGAAATGCACATCCCATAAAGGTCAGCCTTTTAGAACGCAACTCAGGGGCACCTGGGTGGCTCAGTCGGTGAGGCGTCTGCCCTCAGCTTAGGTCATGATCTCAGGGTCCTGGGGTCCAGTCCTGAGTTGGGGCTCCCTGCTCAGTGGGACACCTGATTCTCCCTCTGCCCCCCACCCGCTCATGCTCGCTCTCTCTGTCTCCTCTCTTCTGTGAAACAAATAAAATCTTTAAAAAAATGTAACTCAGGGGGCATCTGGTGCCTTCTCCACCTCTCTCTGGCTCCAGAACATTCCATGCAGCTAAAAGAAAGCCCGTGGGCATGAGCTCTCAGTCCCCGTCCCCTGCCCAGCGCCGGGCGGCCACTGACCCACTTTCTGTCCATGCATTTCCCCGTTGCGCACATTTTTCAGTCAATGGGATCACGCACGAAGGGGCCTCGTGCGTCTGCTTCTCTCGCGGCGCATCATGTCCTGGAGCTCCGTCCGCCGGGCGGCAGGTGTCAGACCTCCGTTCCTTCTCGGGGCTGAGTCCCGTTCCCCTGCGTGGATGGAGCATGTTTTGTGCACATGTGGGCCGTTGTGCATGATGCACCTGCCGCGGATTTGTGCTTCCTGATCGATCCGAGCCCCCAGCCCCAGCAGCTCCCCGGCAGGCGGTGCCTGACATCAGGAATGAGCCGCCGTGCCCACCTCGTACCCAAGCTCCTGTGGACCACACAGCACTGCGGCCTCATGCGTGCGCCTACGCTGTTCCAAGAACCACGTCAAGGAATGGGACGGCGTGCTGGAACTCCATCTGCATTCTCTCCTGTGTGCGGCTCAGCACGCCCAGCCGGTCGGCATGCAAGCATATGGCCGTCACCCCTGTCCCGGGTGGATACGCGCGCCGTCTCCTGCATCCTTGGATGCTGTAAACCCTTCGGATCCCGGGTGCTGTGCCCAAGGGAGGTGCACTGTGGCTGGAACGAGCCCCATCCCAATGCCCCTCGTCCCTCCCGGGGGTCAGGGGTCTTACCTGGGTGGCGGAGAAGGTCCCCCGTGGGAAAGACAGCTGGCCTGGGGAGGGGGGGCGGAATCCAGACCCCAGACTCCTCTCTGTGGGTCCTCCCAAATGTGCTGGAGAAGTGTCCCCTAAAGAGAAACCAAAGCTGGCTCTCCCTTCTCGGCGTTTTTATGGTCACGACCAGGGGCCCCACCCCTAAAACTCGGACCCAATGGGGCTCGGGGTGGGCGGGAGGGGGGTGGAGAGGAGGTGGGTGACTGGGTCGAGAACACCGTCCCCGTGTCTGTGTGTGTCTGTTCCCTTGAAGCCCGGGTCAGCCACTGCGAGGTTTCCCTGGAATGAGTCCCCTTTCTTTCAAAACTGTTACTTTCCTGTTCTCATTTCTGCTTGCGTGTTCCTCTTTGTTACAATCCTAATTACTGCTCACCATCCAGGGCCGGCTTTGGGCAACTTCCTGGCATTGGGGACTATATTCCGCACACGCCAGTGGCTGGGTGGAGGGTTCCTGCGCCGTCTTCCCACCAGGTCCCTGGGAAACGCTCTCCCGTCCGTGCCCCCGAAGACAGTCCCTGGTTAGGACCCTGGGTCCCCGGTGAGGACGCCGCCCAGGGTCAAATGCAGCCCTTCAGGTGGCAAGCGGCCCCCAGCTTTATTTCCAGCAACAACGGTCCTGTGCTCAGCCCCTGCTGGACGGACCCCACTCAGGGACGGGGCTGACCCCTAGTCTCCACCCCGCTCACGCCTGTGAGAACACACCAGCTCCTCAGCGGCTCCGGAGCTCTGATCCACCGGCACGGACTTTATTCTGGAAAAGGGTCTTTGCAGATCCGAGCGAGTCAAGGATCTGAGATGAGCTCATGCTGGAGTACGGTGGCCCTCAATGCAATGACAGGTGTGCGTCTAGGACACAGAAGAAGACACATGGAGACACAGAGGGGAAGCGACGTGACAGAGGGGACTGACTGGCTCATGCGTGGCAGGGAGTCCAGAACGGGCTTCCCCCACGGGACGGCCACACAGAGGAGAAAACAGCCACTACCACCCCGCTGAGCCCCAGGACGGACCCCTTTCCGGGGCAGCGATCATCCAGATGCCCTGGGCACGGCGCTCAGATGCAGAAGTCCGCGTGGGGGCATTTGAAGCCAGCTCCTGAGGATGCCCCAGGTGGCAGGTGCCCGGCTGCCGGTGCCTAGGACACGGAGGGGAGACCCAGGGCCAGCAGTGCAGAGCGGCCAGCGAAGGACAGGGCTGGGACGGGGGGGGGCTGTCGGGGTGAGGGGGAACCTGGGAGTGAGTGTCGTGGGACGAAGCGTTCTCCTTGGGCAGAAGCGGAAGCTGCCGAGGATTATTAAGGAGGCAAAGCTGACGTCAGGAGTTTGCACCCCGGGTCACAACACACCGACCTCCTTGCAGCTCAGGACTCTGTGCTAAGGACGGTGTGGCCAGAACCAGGGAAGGATTCAGATCCACATGCTGGGCCAGACATCGACTCCCCGAGAAGGGCTTTGGGTCTGTTTTTCTGTTGGCTCCTTCCTCCCTCCCTCCTGCCTTCCCCACTGCCGGCTGCCAGGCTAGCGTCAGCCGTAACCCCGGGCAGAACTGCAGGTTAGTCTCCGGAGGGTCCCTGGACCGGGGATGCTGGCAGGGCTGAGGATGGTGGCCCCCTCCAGACACCAGCCATGATGGCATCTGTCCATGCAAATGCGAGACCTCTTCCCTCCGGATTCTACAACGTCTTTAACTTCGCTCTGGGGAACCCCGCTCGCTCCCCACCTGCTTGCTGCATGCTTCCCAAAGCCCTGTGTTCTGTCCCCCGTGCTGATATATGGCCAGACAACCAAAGACTTCCAGATTTCAGAAAAGTGGAAAAGCAGGACCAGGCAAGCAATGGGGGGCCTGGGGTGAGGGTGGCGAGAGCTTCTGTTGTGAACAGAGAGTGCAGCCCTGCAAGGGCAGGGAATGCACCTGGGGGGGCAGAGGAACAGAAGACAGGAAGCGGGAAAGGAAAGTGGGCGAGGCGGGAGGCACAGCTGCATGGTGGGGCAGACCCAGAGCAGACCTTCACCCGGCGAGATGCACCTGTGCCCGGAGCCCTTTGGGGGACACGGCAGGCTCGCCTGGGGATGTGGTCAGCTCTGGGGGGAGGACAGGGCTCGTAAGAAACCCTTGGGCACACGGGCCCGGGGATGGCAAATGACAGCGCCAGCCTCATGGCTGTTGGGGGAAGGTGGGTCCTCAGAGGCGGTCAGATGGGCACCTCTGAGGGGCCCACGGAGGTGGCAGATGCCCCAACATTATATTATGTTATAGTATATCTTATTGCGTTATATATCACTGTATTATATATTATTATATTATATATTATTATGTTGTATTATCTATTATTGAATTATGTTACAATGTATTCTATAAAACAATGTATTACAAATAGTACACTATTACAACACACGCACACCAATGTATTCTATCCATTATATTCATGTTGACATTAATTAATACCTATTAATTATTATATAAACACTATTTTCTTAATATTTTTATTAATTAATATTAATGTACCCATGTACTCACGCATATTAAAATGTTTTCGATATGCTTCTGTAGGAGGAAGTGATTTGTTTTCCTGTCCGGCGGTGCTGTGACCAGGTACGCGTTTTCCAGCGGGGCAGGCGGACTGGAAGGAGTAACGTGATCTGAGCTGTCACCCGCGGCCCCGCATCGTGGACTCCTCTGTGTCGACCTGTTCCGTCAGGCGGCGGGAGGTGAGGCCCTCCCCCACCCCACGCAACCCCGGACCCTGTTCACACGGACTCGCCCCTGGTATTCCGAAGCATTTCCGGAGCTTCTTTCTTGGGAAGACCAGAAGCATTTCACCCGGTCTTCCCTGCCCATTACCTGCAGACAATGCCTCCTCTCTCTGTAACGCCTGCCTCCCAGTTAAGAAGTCCCGTGATCTTGGGGGTCGACAGCCTGGTCTGAGCAGGACCGTCATGAAGGCAGGTCCAGAATGGGAAGGGGCACCTTGAGGGCCTCTTAGGGAGGGAGGCCTCGGTCTAGGGGGGTCTCGGACTCCTGGCCACCGCACCCCCGCAGTGCACCCTTCCATGTGCTGGCGTGGGTGATGGTCTGCAGCTCAGAGAGAAGGAGCTGGGTCCTCCCGCACCGGGGTCTCCGAGCTGCAGGAGGACCCGGGACCCAGCATGTAGGAGTGCTTTACGTGCCCGGTGCAGGGGTCTGGGGAAGACCCCCAGTCCTGCTCCTCCGAGAGCCCAGGGCAGGAGGGTCCGAGGAGCCGAGGTGAAATGTGCCTCCCACACACCTTGTCGGCTCTGAGGTCCTGCAGACACCCAGCTGTGTGCACCCCTAGGTGTCCCCGGGGAGCTTCAGGGCCACTTTCTGCTTTGAGGCTGGCCTTGCCCTGGGATCAGGTGGTTGCAGGACCTCTCCCCCCATCCTCTGGAGGGTTCCCCCCCGAGATGAAGGGCTTCCCTGGTGAACTTTCCCCGGCTAAAAACACAACCGCCAAACACTCTGCCCCTCCCCCAGAAGGGGGAGGATGCTCCTTGCTCTGAGATCATCAGGCTCTGGGACAACCTTGCCCACATCACTGAGGCTTCCCCTGCGCTCTGTGCAGAAGCTCCCCCCACATGCTCCTTCTCCCCGAGATGCCCCGGGCTGCACCCCTGCTGCTTCCAGGGGAAGCAGGCGTTTGCTCTTCACCAGCACGCTGTGGCCGGGAGATGCAAACCCCTTCTGCAACTTTTCTGCTCCCCAAATAAACTCTATTTTTTTAAAAAATTTACTCACAGTATTTTTCTTTCAGAGGGAGAGAGAGCGCATCTGAAGCAGGCTCCACGCCTAGAATGTGAGCCGGACGCGGGGCTCACTCTGAGGACCCCCAGATCGTGACTTGAGATGGAATCAAGAGTCGGACGCTTAACCGACTGAGCCACTCAGGGGTCCCGGAAAATAAACAGTTTCAGTAACTGTGCTGGGCCGAATGGTGCCTGCCCAGATTTATGTCCCTTGGAGCCTGGGAAGGAGGCCTTATTTGGAAATAGGGTCCTTGCCGATGTGATGAAGTGAAGGATCTGAGATGAGCTCATCCTGGGTCATCCAGGTGGCCCTAAATGCAATGACTGGTGTCCCTAGACAGAAGAGGAGACACACAGGGAGGAGAAGCCACGTGAACACGCAGGCAGAGACAGGACGGAGGCGGCCGCCAGCCCAGGGACGCCTGGAGCCCCAGAAGCTGGGAGAGGCAGGAAGGACCCTCCCCTGGACCTCAGACTCTGGTCTTCAGAGCTGGGACGGGATGAATCCGCGTGGTTTTAAGCCCCCAGTTGGTGGTCATTTGTCACGGCCACTACAGGATGCTCCTACCATCATAATGCTCTTCCTTATTCTTCTCTGGACCCTAAGCACTCACCCCCGGCCCCTCACTCTGGCCCCGGCTCCCAGTCCCCAGTCCCCCGAAGGCTGGCCGGGCCACCCCGTGCGGTCCGGGACCCAGTGAGGCACAGAGTTGCCCCGCCCATTCCAGAACCTGCGGGTGCCCGGCACGGGCTAGGGCTGCATTCCCAGGTTCGGGTTTTTAACGTAAAATCCGTGCACGTAACCGGAGGCTCCCGGGTCAAGCTCATCGGCGCAGCCAGCGTGGGTATTGACGGCAGAAACTTCTCTCTTCGGCTCACACGGCCTCGCCCCGTGGTTGCCGAGGCCTTCCCGTCACCTCGGGCCGCTGTCTGCTTATCGCCCTTCGCACCTTGCCCGGGGCGGCTCCTTGGCGTTGCGGGACGGGTGGCCGCGGAGACAGCCGACAGCGAGCCAGCGCTTCCTCTGCCCGGAGGACGCGGTTTTCTTTCTCGGTGCGTGCAAGTCTTTCGAAAGGTGCCGACTGTTTTTTTTTCTGTGTATTTTAACCCCGCCCGGACCCCAAAACGTGGAAGCTTTTCAACGAAAACCTTCCTTATCAGCCAACATTGCCTCTTGTGAAATACGTTTCTTCACAGCCTAGACTTTTTTTTAAAATTTTTTAAAAGATTTTATTTATTTATTTGAGAGAGAGAGAGAAGGACGGGCAGGGGGAGGGGCAGAGGGAGAAGCAGGCTCCCCGCGGAGCAGGGCCCCCCCCCCGACGTGGGGGTCGATCCCGGGACCCTGAGCTCATGACCTGAGCCGAAGGCAGACGCTTCACCGACTGAGCCACCCAGGCGCCCCGCGGTGTAGACTTGTCAGTGGATCCGGCTGTGCCGTGTAATCCGAGCGGACATCTCCCCGCCCCGCGTCTGCGTGAGCGCCTTCCGCGTGCTTCCGCACGCCCTGGAACGCGCGCACACGGCCCGGAACGGGGTTTTCTTCCTTAAATGCTCCCAGCCGAACCCGGTGTTCAGTATGCGGTTGTGCAGAAAAGCGATCGAGGGGCGCTATCCTGAATTCGCCATGCGCCATCCGCATCCTCTGCGCACGTGAGCCCCGAGCTGAAGGGCCGAGCGGGAAGAGCGGACGCGAGTGTCCCTCATCCGGAGTCCTGGGTGCCTGGCGTCTGCCTCCTGCGGGGGTGGGGGGTGGGGACACCTGGCCGCCCCCTTCCCCGATCCCCTTCCTCCTCCTGAGAGCTCCACGAGAGACACAGACACAGACAGAAGGTCGTCCCGATCCCGCTTTCCACAGGAAAAACTCTGGGGGGAGCAAACCCACAAGGACCTGCAAGATCATCCGACGTCTCAACAGCCTCCAGACTGTGTTCCCCCGGCTCTGGACACGCGATCCCACGTCCCGCTCTGCGGAAGAGCGCAAACGGGCTACGTCTCTGCCAAACGTCCGGAAGGAGCCCGCCGGCAGGATCCTTGAGAAACCTTCTGTTCTCCGTGAGGACGCTGCAGAACGGGGAGGCGCTGCGGGGTGGGGGTGGGGGGCAGTCCCGGGGCAACAGGGGCCCCAGGAACGGGACCTGGGGCGCTCCGGGGTCTGTCCGCGGCTCCCGCCGGAATCCCTAGGCAACCGGCATCATGGGCCCACCTGCCCACCAGCCCCCGTGTTTTTTCATATCGCCGAGACACTATTTATGGGGTTGCCGCTAAATGTCACACCATAAATGCAGCTTGGTGGGTGTCTGGTGGTCGGGGTCCAAAGGACCCAGTTCAGGGAGCGAGGTCCTGTCCAAACGCCCTGGTGGGTGGGAGTCGGGCTGGGGTCTGAGTGCAGACCCCTCAGGGCAGAGGGGGCTTGGCCGAGTCCAGGAGGCAGAGCCTGTGGGTCTGCAAAATGATGCCCGTGTAGGCAGCCAATGTGCACACCAAAAGAGCGGCAAGAAGGACCGAGGGCTCAGGGAGGCCGGATGGGAGGCTGCCAGGCACCTGCTGGGAGACGTGGGTGCCCAGGGGCCGCTGAACCCTCACCTCCGGGTGCTCGTCCCAAGGCCCTCCTGACCCCAAACCCTAACCGAGATGGGCCCGAGAGATGGGGGGGTCTGGCATAACTCCCACTCCTCCCTGTCCTGGCCGCGTGCCCGTTTGCAAGATCTGAACGAAGCACTCCATACGGCGGAACCCCAGGCTTCCACCAATAACCCGGGACAGAGACACCTCCTTCTCTGGGCGCTGGGCCTCCTCACCCCTCCAAAGAGGGACCCCACGCTCCACCTGCAAAGTCGTGCGGTGGGCGTATCTGGCTCGAAAAACCACGGCTCCACACACGCCCTGGAGCCTGCCCGGCGGGAGTCCCATGTCGTGGGGACGCCCACCTACCCCACATTCTGCTTTGCTTTGCGCTCCCCAAAATCACTTTCCTGCCCCATGGCCCCCGGCGTCCTGTGCGGACAGAGGGTCTCTTTAAAGACAAGGACTCTTGTGAGCAACCTTTGTTCACCAGCAACGGGATTCATACAAAACCAGCCGTAACGAGAGCATTGCGCATTCATTCCCGGCTATTTGCAAAATCAGAACAGAAGAAGACGGTCTTACTCCCATCGAAACGTACTCCCAACACTAGATTTTTTTCCCCTCAAATGCACCCACTACTTTCTCCCTGTAAACCTATTTCTTCCCCCCCCCAACCCCCCGAGTCAAAAATACAGACAAGCATGAAACAAAAATGCGTGAAGTCTGCAGATAAGCATCCTTGACGTGCAGGGGTCAAAAATCGATTCTTGCACCTGCGGGCGGGGGGACGTGCCCCTGGCCTGTTGGCACTTTGCGAACACTGCACGGTGATCATCTTTCCCAACGAGTACCTGCAAATGTGCATCAGCGCTCACCGGGGCCCCACAGTCTGCACCCTTGTTTGAAAGCAAATCCGTGCAAAAACGTCCCGCCTATCTTGCATGTAGTTTTAAAGAGTAGGGATGGTTCTCCACAAACACAGGTGCTTCGATGCGTGTGCTGTGTGTGGGCAGCACAGGGTGGCTGGGCTCTTTGAAATGAGGGTATAATGGCCGTATTTGGCGGGAGGAAGCCACGGGGAGGGAGTGCAGATATTTCGTGTCCGGGGGTTCATGAACGCGTCTTCTGCACTGACAGCTTTGCTTTATTTCTTCTTTTTGTTCTTTCCTTTGTGTGTGTGTGTGTGTGTGTGTGTGTGTGTGCGCGCGCGCGCGCGCGTGTGGTTTGGATAAACAGCCACTGGGTAGCGTGGCTTCTGTGGACACGGGGCAGCACTTATCTTGACGTCCAACGCCTCTAACATCCACAGGGAACGCATGTCTCCTGGCCCCACGTGCCATGGAGACCGTTGTCTTAAAAGCAATGGCACAACTCTGCAAGTAACCCAAACAGGTGCCGATCCCCCAATGCAGACGCAGAGGCGCATCCGTCGGAAGAAACGCGTGCTCTCTCTTTCCGCCCTCGCCCTCGGCCACTGCCCGGCTAGCTCACGGCACGGTGAGCGTCTCCAGGGCTTCGTCACTCTGGGACGTGCTAGGTGCATGACGGCGACGGGCGACCCTGGTGCTTCCCAGCCTGTAGGACCAGCCCCCGGGGTCAAGGGGAGCGTGGCGGCCTCTCTCCACATCCCCGAGCCGCCCACACCGCCCGCCCGCTTGGACGCGTGTAGAAAGCTAGAGAGCCGTGCTGCGGGGTTTTTGGTGGTGGCATTGCAGGTCAGGTGAGAAATCTTGCGCAGACGTGAGCGGACGATGCACATATGCGACGTTTTCGGGGTGGTGGGGGCAGGGGATGAGGCCGAAGCCACAGTTTCCGCTTGTCCCCACACCAGTCACATTTCCTCCACCACGAGGACGTCCTCGGGTTCCTGGGAGCCTGGCGGTGGCGGGCGGCCGTCCTCCCAAGCGACCTGAGACAGAGAGAGAAGACGGGCAGCGTTGAGACCACCCATGCGCGGGACCGTGATTGTGCCGCCAAGAAAGCCTCGGTGCAGAGCCGCATGGCTCCCTGTGGCCGAACGGTGGACACCCCCCCCCTCCAGTGCACAGATGCGTACGTAAATGTGTGCACGCCCGCAGGGGTCAGGACTCAGCCAAGAGCAGGAGCACCAATCGGACACCTCCTGCCCCGTGGATGGACGCGGACCACACAATGCTCTGGGGGAGAAGAACACAAGCAGGACCTCGTAGCGTGGGACCCCCCCTTGATACAAAACGTCCGGAATGGGCAAATCCACAGACAGAACGTGGACGCGAGCTCGCCGGGGGCGGGGGGGGGGGCTGCGAAGGGGATGGGGCTGACAGCTCACGGGGACGGGGTCTCCTGGGGGGAGATGCGAATGCTCGGGAACCAGAACACCCTGGCGAGTGTGCTCACTGCCCCCGAATCGGGCTTTCCAAAGGGGCGAATGGGATGGCGTGTGAGCTGGGCCCCAAGAGAGCCACGTCATCCATGGAAACGATGTGTCCCTGACACACTCATCTGGGATACACGTGCGGGCAGCCATCCCTTGCCTGGAAGGACCTCTGCAGACGTCCCAACACCCACCCTGCCCACCCTGGGCGCCCCTTGGGAACCCACGCAGGCTGCCCCAGCCCCCCTGCATGCAGGAGTGATGCCCTGGGTGGCAGAGTCTCCCTGGGAGGACACGGCTCCCTCCAGCCTGACGGTGGTGGCCGTGGGGGGCCTGGGCAGAGGGCTGCTTCAAGACTCAGGGGGGCCACCCCAATTTATGAGGGGGTGACCCCGGCCAGCCTGAGGCTGAGAATCGTGTTTCTAGCTGGGACCTTATGGGAGGGGTCCCTTTGCACCCACCGAGAAATAGGGACCTGGACGTCCACCCGCCGGCCACTCTTGCCTCTTAGACAAGTGGCATTTCCTGGACTGCACGTTGCAGAAGGGCATCCCAGAAAGGGTTTGGGGACCACCTGTACTGGCCAGGGTGTGGGCTGTGGACGGGACCCCAAGAAGTCGGGCTGGGCCCCTAACTCAGCAACGCCTTTCCCTGGAACGCTGAGACCCACAGAGAAGCCCCCTGCAAAACCCCAGAACCTCACCCCAATTTTATCCATGAACCCTAAACCCAAATGAGACAGCAGCCAGGCCTTGTGGAAGCCCCAGGGGCAGCCCAAGGGGGTGGGTTTCCCGAGGAAACAGCCTCAAGCCTAGAACCAGAGCCCCTGGGTTGGGGGCGTCCTTCTGCTCGTCACAGGTCAGCACGTGGGGCTGATGCACGAGGAAGGTCAGATGGAGGAGGGGTGCCACCCCGGGGAGGGCCCCTCACCCGAGAGCCAGTGGCAGCCCCAGCAAACCATGGTCAGGGATTGAGTGGTGGCCCCCCAAACCCCACCTCCATCCAGAACCACCACAGGCAGCTCTATGTGCAAATAGGGTCTGTACCCATGTAATGGGTTCGGGGTCTTCTGATGAGGGGTGCCTGACCCGTGAGAGGGAGACCAACAGTGGCCTGAGGACCAGCCCGGGATTTCCAGCAGGGAAACAGGGCCACCCCCGCTTCCCCTGCTGCAGGAGCTGTTTCCGTCCTAAGCCCCAAGCTGTGGTTTTGTGGTGAACTCCCCACCCCCACCCACGGCCCTGGGCATGGAGTTTTGTGCTGAAGGCTGCTGGACGCAGGCGGTGGCCCCTCCACTTCCCTGTGTCCTCCAGCCCTGGCCCGGAACTGCACGCTAGTGCTGGGGAGCACAGGAGACCCCTGCCCAATCACACTGCTCCCCCCAGCAGACGCCCCCCCTCCAAAGACTCCGAACCAGGAGGGGAAGAGAGTGTGGCGGGCACTCACCTCCAGGGGCGGCACAAACGTCCCGGTGATTTCCTTCTTCACCTGCGGGATTCGGGGGAACAGCTTGGACTTGACGGAGAACCTGCCGACCAGATGGACAGACACGGTGAAGGGCCCAGCGAGCCGGGCAGCGCACCCCAGATCTGCCGGCCTCCTTCCCCTCCTACAGAAACCCCGGGCGCACGTTCAGTGGCCAAGCCGGGTCTGCACCTGCAGGACCGAGCTCGCCACTGGGGCTATGTGGCCCCGGACAGACGTGGCTCAGGCAGCAGGAGACCCCCCCCACCGCACCCCACGGACGCTCACTCCCTGTCCCTCCCCAGCCCTCAGATTCCCTGGAATCCGCGCCCTGACTCCGGATTCGCCCTCCCCTGGGCGTTCCACAGGCACGGGGTCCTGCGCCCGGGTGGGGACGGGGGTGTTCCTGGCGCCAGTGTTGGGGGCTCACCATTTGCACAAGCCCACGAGGACCACAGCGAGCGTAGTCGTGGCCGCCGCCACCACCCCGAACAGGACGCGGCGGAAATCCTGCTGCGGGAGGCCTGGTGCGGGAAGAGGAGCTGAGGGTCAGAAGCGCGCACGCGCGGGGGGCGGGTGGTCAGCTCTGCGCGCACCCGCAGCGCCCTGACCCTGTTACCCGATTATGGGTGGAGGGCGTGTTGGGGGAGCAGGGCTGCAACGGACGACCCTCCCTCCGGTCCTGTGCCCACGCTGCCCCCCCCGGCCATCCTGCCGGTCCCCTGCACGCCTTGCTCACAAGAGAGCTCCCGCCGTGGCACCAAGACACAACTAGTACCGCGCAACGCATTCCTTCTCGAGGGACGTTCGCTTTCCACACCGCGCTGCCTCGTCAAAGGAATGAATGCGTAATTGTGAAACTCCAGGGTGGGACAGAGGTGTGTTTCCTGTTGCCCTGCAGGCTTTCCTTGGGGAACCCTGATTTGACCTGTGCGGTCTGTGCAGCTTCTGCGAGCCGGGAACGCGTTTCCTGGAAAGAATGAGCCCCACACGTGCGTTCGGGGCTCCAGTGGGAGGAGGCTGCCAGCCTGTGGAGCTGTTAGACATCGAGCTGGTGCGTTCTTCGAGCTCATGCCCTGTCGCCCCCCAGAATGGATGTGTGGGACCCCTGGAGGGGCGCACCAAGCGGACCCCTACCTGTGGGGTTTCCGCTGCCCCTGCAAGCAGGTGCGCTGAGAGGCCCGGTGAAGGACCCCCGAGACCCCCAGAGCGCCATGAACCCCTACATTTGTGTTTCCTGCCGCCAGCACTACCGCGTGATGGGGGCTGTTACGCTGAAGACCACTGGTTTTGGGATACCCGTCCCTGACCCCATAAAGGAGAGGGGGTGACAGGGCACCCAGGGGGATGGATGGAGCCCCCCTGGGCCCTGGCTGACCCCTCGGGGGAGGGGGACATCTCTGGGTTGGGGGGTGGCCGGCGACCTCAGGGGCCTTCCAGACACCTGAGCGGGACTAAGGGAACAGTAGCCCAGGGGGGCTGGTGCCCTGTGGTTCAGTCTGGGGGTGCGCCCTCCCAGGACGGAACACGGGAGGGGGTACAGGGCAGCGGGACACGCTGCAGATGGTGTGTTTGGGTAGAGAGCCGGCAGGGACGTCCCCGAGCCCCCTCCGCTGGGGGGGGGCTGCCGCGGGCTCATAGGATCCCCAAAAAGATGCGTGCGCCCTAACCCCGAAACCTGGCAATGGGACCTTATGGGAACAGGATCATCACAGGTGTGATGAAGTGAAGGGTCCCAGAGGAGCTCGGCCTGGATCCAACGGCAGGTGTCCTCGTAAGACCCAAAAGAGGAACCGCGCAAGGGGACCCCAAAGAATATCCCTCCGCGGCGCGCGAGGAGTGGGGTCCTCACCAAGATGCAGCGTCGGGCTCCATTCGCTCCAGAGCTCATTATACAGGTAGCGCACCCTCACCCGGAACGTGGTGTCGGGCCTGACGGCAGTACGGGGCATCAGGTACACATTCGGATCTTGCCCCCTCTGGAAAACCTTGAAGAGAAGAAGGCACGGTCTGTGAGCAGCGTTGGTGAGGCGGGAGCGTCCCCTGGAATGTGAGTTCTGGGGGTCCGTGCAAGGACGACCGACGCCTGACGCCCGGGGCCTCCGTCCGTCCCTCTGGCCCCAAGCAGGGGCCCTAAGGGGCTTGCCCCTGGGGAGGTGGACTCCACGCCTGGGCCCCACGGCTCCCCGAGGTGCGCCCACTGCTCGCACAGAGTGCCCACGCCCTGGGGACCTGGCTTGCGGTTATTCCAAATCTATACACTGGCAGCCGGGGGTGGGGAGGGCAGGAGCCCCACCTGGCCTTGTGGTTCCTAGGGGGCACAACTGGACTCTGATTTCGTTTCCTAGGGGCACAACTGGACTCTGAATCTGGCACCGCCGGCTGGGGGCCAGGGGTCTGCCATCCCCTTCTGCCCTCCCCCAGGGCCAAAATGAGGCCAGTTCTGGGACGGGCCCCATGTTGTCCCTCTGGATGAGGGCCACCTCTCTGTCCACTGCACAGGGGATGTGCACCCTGGTGTCCGGGGATGTACAGGTCTGGAGACACTGGCAGAGTAAGACTGACCAGAACACTAGGTGGTCAGCGAGGAAAAGCAGGGGAACGGGGAAGCATTTCCTCACTTGGCATATGCCCCAGTGCAAATCCCAGTCTCATCCAACCACGTCCTGGGGCCAGAGCTGAGTGGGACATCCTGCCGGCCTGGCTCGTTCCAGAGCCCACGGTGTTTCTCTGGAGACCAGAGTCTGAGATCCAGGCGGGGCAGGGCCACTGAGATCCAGGCGGGGCAGGGCCGTGCTCCCTCCAGAGGCTCCAGGGGAGGGTCCTCCCTGCCTCTTCCAGCTTCTGGGAGCTCTGGACATCCCTGGGCTCATGGCCGCGTCCCTCCCATCTCTGCCTCTGTCCTTATGTGGCTTCTCCTCTGTGTCCGTGTCTCCTCTTGTGTCTCTTACAAGGACACCTGTCATTGGATTTAGGGCCACCCTGATCCAGGATGAGCTCATCTCAGAGCCTTCACTGATATTTGCAAAGACCCTATTTCCAAATAAGACCCCATGCTGAGCTTCTGGGCAGACCTGAATTTTTGCAGGACACTCTTGAGCTCACGACAATCTTTGAACTGAAAAGGTCCGAGGATGTGCGTCTGGAAGAAGGACGCTGCTCTGTCCACGGGGTGTACGATGACTAGCGACTTGAGTTGAGTCAGAGGATTTCAAGGAAACACAGCTTCTCAATCCGAGACTGAAAGCCTGATGGCCACTAAGGGGCTAATTGGGACCCCACAGCCGAGGCGATCAGTGAACGCTGAAGTTTGACCTGCCTTTGGGCCCAAGCACAGGAGTCGCAGAGAGAGGAAGAGATACTTACGGGGTTTGTCTTGGAGGTGCTGCCCTGTAAAAAAGGAAAGATTGTTACCATCTGTGTTTTCAGCATTATATGCAAATGTGGGAACCCACGTGGAACCCCAGAACTGGTATGAGGAAGCCTCAGAACTTCCCTAATCTGCCAAAGAGCAGAATACTGGAACGAGGCGGGCCATGAATTCCCCCTTTGGGGAGACTTCACTTCCAGGAAGGACAGTGAACATAGCATCAGTTCCGTCTCCAGGGAAGTTTTATGCCCATGAAAGAGACAAAAGAGACCTCTGGTACCTGCCTCAACAAGCATCATCACAACTGTTCTTATCCCCTATTTGTTCAAGCCGGTGACTTGAGCTACTCAAGAGTCACTTCTTTTGTGAGCTCGCATATGCATATGAGTACTTTTTGCTCCCCCCTGCCCTGCCCTGCCCCTTCAGCTCCCTTTTATTTAATTCGCAGCCCCCGTTCGGGACCTAAGAGGGTAGAGGAACAGCTTTTCCTCCTCAACACAAAGTCTCCTTATTGTGAATTTGTCTCTGGCTGGTGAGTTTGCTCCGGGGATATTAATGAGGGATGAGAAGGCAGCGCCTTCAGTAGCCTTTGGTTCTGCATTCGTGAATGTTCAAATGTCTGGTAAGGACTGACCGTCCACCTCCTCCACCATTTACTGAGTGCACCCACGAGGCTCTGCGGAGAAAGCCAGAGAGGAGCTCGCTACCAAAGTGTTGCTGTTCCCGGTGGTCCTGTGACGTCAAGGGCCGTACGGGGTATGGGACGGGGCCAGTGGGTGCCGGCCAGCCTCCGGGCACGTGGACGAAGGTGGACACCCCCCCCCCCGGGAGACGCATCAGGGACTCAGATCCAGGGCTTGTGGCGGGTCCCCTGCAGAGGAGAGGGGGCTCTTGCTTTGCCACGTGGGCCACCCATGGATAGTCCTGACATTCACTCATGCAGCAAGAGGTACTGAGCACCCCCCGGTGTGCCCGGCTCTGCCGTCGGCGTACGCGTACTGACAGCGTCCCTACACTCAGGGAACCTGCTTCTGGGAGGCAAGAGGCAGAACGAGGGCACAAGAATGTTTCAGGTAGCAGCTGATCCCACATCGGTGCTGGGAAGAAATCGGACGAGGAGGCAGAATCAAGAGAGCCTGGCGGGGCAGGCAGTATTTTGGTGGATATGGAGGAGGACCCAGCACTTGGGGATGGAGGGAGCACCGGCCGGCAGAGGCAGCAATATGTGCAAAGGCCCTGGGGTCTGGGGTGCTCGGGACCAAACCCCCACAGCAGGGGCACCGGAGTAACCCTCTGCCCCTGGCTCTGGGCTTGGGGTGCAGGTTGAGGCCCCAGGCCGTGGGGAAACAGAGATGCCGAGTGCCTGGTGGAAAGTCCCCAACTTCCAGGAGTTGGGGACACATCCAGATCTCAGGTTTCAGAAGCTCCCTCAGCACGAGTGGGCTGAGGGGATGGGGAGCAGGTGGGTGGGCTAAAGATTTGGGGGAGTACCCCCTGCACCTCCCATGAGCCCACCATTCTCAGCCCATTTTCACGTTTTGTTTCAAAAAAGGTCACAAAAGGGGCTGTGTCCTGTGGGGTCACAACTCTGATATTCTGGAAAAGGCAGCTAAACAGTAAAGACGTCCCGGGTCGCGAGGGGTTGGGGGCAAGGCAACGAGCGGGTGGAGCACAGGGGATTTTTAGGGCTGCGGGACTATAACACCCTATAACGATGTGTCCATGCTGCTGTGCATTTGTCCGAACCCACAGAATGGGCACCACCAGGAGCCAATCCTACTGCCCGTGACGGACTCTGGGTGATGCACGGGTGTCAATGCACGTTCACCAATTCCAACAAATGCACCGTCTGGTAGGGACGCTGATAATGGGGCGGACCGTGCTTGTGTGCATGTAGTGGGTGTGGGGGACACCCCTTTACCTCTCCCTCAGTTCTGTTATGAACCTAAAACGACTCAAAAAAAAACTATTTTGGGGCTCCCGGGCTGGCTCTGTTGGACGAGCAAGTGACTCTTGATATTGGGATCCCGAGTTTGAGTCCCACGTTGTGCATAGAGATTTTACTTTAAAAAATAAGAACAAAGAAGCAATTTCACGGGGGAAAGAAAAAAAAGAATGAGCCGCCCATTTAGGGCAAAAACAGAGCAGAAGCACAGGAGCTCCCAGAGAACAACCCCAGAGCAGAGTCGCCTGCCCGTGAGCCGGGATTGAGCTCGGCTCGAGAAGACGGGGCCAAGCGTGGGGTTCTCACCGTTCTTTGCATATCCAGCTCATAATACAGGACGTGACTCGAAAGCTCGTATCTGATCTTGGGATTCTCCCACTGGATAATGTGATGCGATCTGTTGTAGGAGATCGTGATGTTTGTTGGCGGGTCATACTTTTCTACGGAAAACAAAACAGAAACAACAACAGAAAACCTCGCAAACAGCCCAGCATGTTTTAAATCTGCAACACAGAGCGGTCAATCAGGGGGATCCCGAACATGTCCCGTTTTTCTCTGCAAACAAGCACCCCTTCCGTAGCCTGTTGAATGTGGCGTTGTTCCCGCTTTTGTGCTTTGGGTGGGCGATGTCACCATTTAAAACGGCCCCCAAGCATACAGCTGGAGTGCTGTCTGATGTGCACGAAGGGGACAGGAAGGTCACCTCCAAAATAGGGCACTTTGGCACACGGGTCATTTGGGACTGAAGGCAATTGAGAGCCACGGATGCAGAACGAAGCCTTTGTGGAGCGTCCCTTATCTGACTAAAACCAGAAACTTCCGAGAAATTTGGATTGCCGTGAATCCTGTCTCTGGGCAAGTTTTCTGTCCATGAAAGTCAGCACCAAGATGAGTTTGCACAAACAAACCTTACTAATATAACCCTCTCTCCCATTACTCCCATACATATATTTACCACCTCTAAAAGCGCAAAAAGTTTATTCTTTAACTCCAAAATTAATTGATTTTTATTAAAATGGTAGATAAGTAAAAAAAATAAATAAATAGAAATAAATGGTGTATAAGTCCCTGAGTCTAACTACTTCTTTGGGAGGTTTTCATTTATTTTCTATGAAGCCCTCCCCCCATGCATATCAAACTTAAACATTGAAATTACATTCGTATGCTTTCCTCCTGTTAATAGAGTGTTTGTCAGGTTAATTTGCAAGCCCCGCCTACAGAACCTAAGAGGGTAGAGGAAAACTTTTTCTTCTTTTGCATTCCTACACACAAGAAGGCCATGACGTGCCTGTTGGAGAAAATACACGCACTCGGTAAGCATTGTTCAGGCTTGAGGTATAGGGCTGTGGGCCTCTTGTCCGGTGTTAATTCATCAGCAATGTACGTTACGTAAGATGTCTTTAAACAGAAACCCACATAAAACACGACGAACCCTGTATTTCCACACCAGCAGCCATGATGAGTCAGGATTTGCAAATTCAGGGTTTGCAGGGAATTTTAAAAAATCAGCAAACATGGCTACGTGACATGAACACATGCCTCTCTCTTTTTTTTCTCAGAATTTTTTAAAATTAACGGATAATGTACTATTTGTTTCAGGGGTACAGGTCTGTGATTCATCAGTCTTACACAATTCACAGCGCTCAGCATGGCACGTACCCTCCCCAGTGTCCACCACCCAGCCACCCCCGAACACGTGCCTCTCTTGCATCCCACTGCAAGGGGACGGTCGGGACCACCGTGCCCCTCTCTCTCCCTATCTCCCAGACTCCGACTGCAGATTCTGGATCTCGCTCAGGCCGGTCCAGAACCCAGCCCTGTGTCCCACACGGCGGTGGTGCGAGCCCAGATGAGTGAAGCCAGCTCTCCTGGGTGGGGTGTGGGGGAGAATACACGTCCAGGGAGCCTCTTACCCATTTTACTGGCTTCAAATGGAACAAAGTCCAAAAATGGGATTGCCGTCTCATTGCTGGTCCCGTTCACCAGGAAGAAGTAATTATCCGTACGCTGGGGCTCACCGAGTTGATCGAAATGGCAGCCCACGCGTGTTCCCGTGGGGTCCATGATGTAGTGGACGCACTCCAGCTCATCCTCATTCCTGTCATTTGCAAAAGGGGCACAGGAAAAGCCCCACTGGGTACCCTTCCGGGCAGACATTATCAACAACGAAATCTCCTCCCCAACCCAGAAAACCCTCTTAAAAAAAAAAAAAAAAAAAACTGACACAAATCTGTCCCCGAATAAGCACAAAACCAGAACGGGATATGCGTCCCAGGTAACCGGCCAGGACGTGGCACAGACAGGGACGGACCCCGCCCTTTACAGGGTGAACCCGTTACGACCCATTCCGCGCACGATAAAATTGTGAAACTGTGGATTTCCTCCTCTCTTTAGGACGGGAGGGGGGTTTGCCTTTCGGAGCCAGGCGGCAGCAAACGTAAAACCCTTCTCCGCCCAGGGTTCTGTGATTCTGGGGACATTTCGGGGAGGCGCCCCCCGGGGCCCCATGGCTCGCTTGGCATTTCCCGCTACGGTCCCCACATCGATCCCAGGTGCTCGGAGGGAAGGCTCCCGGCTTACAAGGAGGCCCACCAGAAGAGCTGATAGTGGACATCAGCTGGGGCGCGGGGGCCGGGTGCCCAGCTGCAGTTCATGAGGCGGACGTTGTAAATGAAACAGGAGAAGTTCACGGCACCGGAACCTTCCCTGCCTGGGAAGACACAGACCGACATCCTCAGCGGCTGCACCACCCCCCACAGACCCTGAGTGGTGACACGCATGGGTACCCGTCGGGCGTGGCGGGAGCCGGGATTCACCAGCCCCAGGGACCTCACCCGGGTTCACAAAAGGCAGGACTTTCTGGGACACGACCCCGTCACAGGTGACCTTCACGGTCAGCTTGGCCCCCCTGTGAAGCACGCGGTTATGGAAGATGCAGAAGTATGTGCTGTCCTCTCTGACCTAGAAAGGGAATCATCAAGAACCTATATAGGTCATGCGTTCGCTTCAGGCTCCCCTGGACCCGACTCCATCCCGGGAGAGGTCCACAGAGGGGCGTCCCCAACAAGGACCTCCCCGTCTTGGATCAAATATCACTCGGACCCCTCTCAAGCCCTGTTGCACACTAGGTTTCATGCCTGGTCTGCAGAGCTCAGCTTTGGCAAAGAATCCCGCTCAATCGATTATCGAGAATCCCTCCCCCCACCTCTGGTGTTCTAGGGGGTTTGCAACACGTCACCCCAAAAAGGCCACTTGGGCACACCTGACAAACAGCAGGTGCACACACACACACACACACACACACACACGAAAGCTCTCTGCCCTCCTCTCTGCCTAAAACCTGGGCACACATTTCCTTTTCAGAAGGTGCCCCTACCCCGTTGGCCCGTCTGTCCGACCGGGAAGGGCAGAGTGAATCTCACCAGTGGAGAGACAATTCTAGACACCCACCAGCCCAGAGATGGACCCCAATCTGCAGGACAAACTTCGCCAGAACCTTCCATTTGTTCCCCCAAATGATTGCCTTCCTCGGGTACAGAGCAGAACTCGGCCCCACGACCTGCAAGAAACCTGCCTGTTGCCTATAATAATCAGCCCACAAGTCCTGCTACGTGAGATGCACGGGAGACCGCTATCCCTGCAATAATGCAAGGAGCTCACAATGGCCAGGACTTGAGTAACACCAGCAATGTCCCTAATTCTGTCCCTGCTTCCAATGTGGTGTAAGGATTATTCTGAGCCGGAAGCAACTGACAACCAACAGATACAGAAAGAAACCTTCCTGGAGATTCCTTCATTGGACTAACAGCAGAAACTTCTAGAAACACACATGACACAGTCCCCTCTCTCTCTGAGGGAAGTTTTAGTACCATGAAGAAGGCAGAAATTCGGCACCAAGACGGACCTGTACAAACAAACCTACTAAATAAACCTTCTCTTCCAATAGTGTCCATTCAAATATCTGTCTTCCCCAAATTTGCTGCTCTTAGCAGTCTCAAACTGTTTTCCTGCACCATGTATGTGCTCTTTGTGAAAAACGGTATACAAACTCTCAGGTCTAACTGCCTCTTTGGGGACATTTTCTTCTTTCTATCAAGACGCCCATGCCATGCCACCTAAAATTTTAAACATCCTATAGAACATGCATGCCTCTTCTCAGTTAATCTGTGTTCTGTCAATTTGCAGAGCCCCGCTGACTGAACTTAAGAGTGTAGACAAAAGGGGTGTTGCTCGCCTGCACCACGATAAAGTTTTCCCACTCCTCTGCGTGAGTCTGAGGCTCTGCCCAAGGTAAGAGCTGGTGGCTGACACCCTGGCCAGAGACCCCTTTGTCCTCATTTGGGTGGTCTTGGTTGATGTGATTAATTGTGAATGCATTTTATTAATGCTCATGAAGTAATACAGCTGTTTTGTCTTTGTGGGGGAGGCTTCCTGGGTTGGGGGGTGGATTTTGTGTTTAAGTTTCCCCAACAAGTGTCACCAGGGATGGAAGGGGGTGAGCAGCCATAGGGCACTGGGGGATGGGGAGGGACCGCAGTGGAGACAAGATGCATGAATATTCCTGAGAATCCAGCCAGGCCTGCACTCAGGAATCTGCCCCCATAGGAAATAATAGAAGGATTTTTTTTGTCTTTTCCTAGAAATGGAAGTAGAACACATTCCACATCTGAGTCTATAGAAACCCTTTCTTGTGAAAAGGTTTTGCTCCACAAAACAAAACAAACAAACAAAAAACCCCCAAACAAAACCAAAAACAACAACCAAAAAAAATCGGTTGCTTGGGAATCCTAAAACAAAAGCAGACATGTATTTTGAAACAAGGATGATCGGCAAAGACCTGGAGGGAGCAGGGGCTGCCCCAAAAGCCCCGAAGCCCATTCTAAGAGTAACAGCTTAAGAATTACAGGGATGACAAAGAGCCCCTTAAAACATCCAGGCAGAAAAATCTGGGATTTACATAAAAATTGGGTGATTGACAGCCTTAAAACACCAACCAGGAGGCCACCAGCAGGCAACTCATTCAGAGGTTTTTTGGAGGAAAATGTTTGAAAAGAAGTTTCAATAGAGCGGGGCCTGTTTTTGGCCAAGATGAGGAGAAAAGCAATTTCTTAGATAATCAATGGCTCTCAAAAACGTCCCAGTTGTGCATCATGAGGGTGAATACAAATCTAAATATATATATATATATATATATGTACACACACACACACACACACACACACACATATATATATATGAAATGTTTTCTAGTTCCAAAAAGGACAGAGAATGCCTCCCACCTCTTTCTCATTAGCATTCCCTTTACTAAATGGGCAACAGCATGACGTCTCCTGGAGACGTGTGCAAATCTCTGTAAAAGCCGAAGGACCTGAGGCCAGTTCTGGGTCCCAGCGGAGTCTGTCCTGGGGGCCGGGAGCCTCTGCATCTGGAGCATCCGTAAGGGGTCCTGCCTCCTGTCTCTGGGAACTTTGCTTCCACATACAATTTCCTGCTTGTCTAAAAGAAGGGACTTTTAATATAATAAAAAAATAATAATAATAAAATAAAAATAAAAGAGGGGACTTTGATGTTTCCTTTGGGTCAGGACAGAGAACAGGTGCGTCACGGGTTGTGTCTGGCAGAAAAGGCAGAAAAGGCGAGGTCCCTCCCATCTCTGGCAAACACTAACCCACTTCCTTTTAACAGGATTTGTCTATCAGTCTAGTGGACCGATGCACAATGTAGCCTTTTGCATCTGAGAAGCAGACACAACTGCAAAGTCCATACACATTGTAGCAAGTGTTTGAGCTGGTCCCCTTTCATGGCCGCCTGGCAGTATTTACTTTTAATCCATTTTCCCCCTACGGCCGCATCTTACCCGACCGAGCACTGCTACGTGCACAGGGACAAAATGAGGAACTGGAAAAAACGGGCAAAGCAGCCCTGGCAGGAGAGTGACGGCAAGGAGCCCAACACGGTGTCACGTGCTAAATACTGAGCATAAACATGGTGACCCACGGAGGACACGAGATTTAAAAAAGGCTCGAAAGGAAAAACAGACCACGAGGGGGAAAAAAAAAAGTCAGCACACCAGCATCCTGTTTGTGAAATCCCAGATTCCATGGGCGCAGGGCAGCCGGTGTAGACTTACTGCCCGTGCGGCTGGTCAGGTAGAGTCCGACCAGGAGGGTCATTATATACATTCAGAATTCCTCAAGTTCAAAATGTAGGAAAATAAAATCAGAGCATCATTGACGTCCATTGCGTCTGTGCCAAATCTCGTGCTGAAAGCCAGAGGCAGGACCCCAGGGCTCCGGGAAGGTCCTCAGGCTGCAAGAAGGATGCCTTCAAGGATTGAATCAACCCATGCCTATCCCGTCTTCCCTGCAAGCATCTTTGTGCAGCCTCACGGAAAACCCAAAATCCCAGTGAGAAATTCTGCAACCCCATTTTCTGAGTCTGCAAACAAACAAACAAACAAACACACAGTCAACTCCTAACTAAAAAGAAGAAGAAGAAGAAGAAGAAGAAGAAGAAGAAGAAGAAGAAGAAGAAGAAGAAAAGTCTGACTATTTTTAAAAACAGAATTATGTTTTCCCAAAGGAAGTCTTAGTACAGGAGGGCATTAGAAGCACAATGCAGGCCGTTTAAGATAAAAATGGCCCCAGGAGGCCTCCCAGGGCCTTCACTTTCCAACCAGCAGGAAGGAACTCGCCACCACTCACCACTCGGTTAATTTAAAACATTAGCACCTCCCTCTGCAAAACAGCTAGCATTCCCCCCCACCCCATTTCCTGCAGGAGAAAACCCTTAAGACAAATGTGCTCAGAGCAGGCGGAAGGAAACGAACCAGAGGTTAGTAACTCAGAAAACGCACATAGGCAAAAATGACGGCCTTTAATAACATACAGAGACTTGATTTTATGTCGCTGGCAGAGCTCGGATCTAAGACCATTCAGAGGATATTTTATTGTATTTTTTTTAAAGATTTTATTTATTTATTTGAGAGAGAGAGAGGAGGAGGGGCAGAGGCAGAGGGAGAAGCAGACTCTCCACTGAGCAGGGAGCCCGATGCGGGACTCGATCCCAGGACCCTAAGATCATGATCTGAGCTGAAGGCAGACGCTTAACTGACTGAGCCACCCAGGCACCTTTCAGACAATGTTTTTTAAAAGAACCAGTTTTTTTAGTGGGAGAGGAAAAAAAAAAGAGTGAGTCACCTGGCTAGCTCAGTTGGTGGACCGTGCCACTCTTGATCACTGGGTTGTGAATTTGAGCCCCACCTTGGGTAGAGATTTACTTAAAAATAAAATCCTTTTTATTTTATTTTATTTTATTTATTTATTTGACAGAGAGAGACACAGCAAGAGAGGGAACACAAGCAGGGGGAGTGGGAGAGGGAGAAGCAGGCCTCCTGCTGAGCAGGGAGCCCGATGCGGGGCTCGGCAGGACCCCTGGGATCATGACCTGAACCGAAGGCAGACGCTTAACGACTGAGCCACCCAGGTGCCCCTAAAATTAAAATCTTTAAGAAAATGTAAAGCTATAAAAAATATAAACCCCAAAATGTTATGCTCATGCACTGAATTCAACATTATTATTTTTTTTAATTCTATCAAGATTGTGCACGGTCTGTTTTCATAAGGTCGATGCAGTGGGGGAAACAAAGTGATAATCTCAGCAGAGGTCCAAAAACACATTTTCAAGAATTTGCAAAATCTGTGCTAGGGAAGAACAACACTTGGAACAGCAGGGACCTAAATGAATCTCTTGGACAAGACAAAGAAGATTTTTGCTTTTGGCTTTTCTGTTGTTGTTGTTGTTGTTTTTCATCAACAGGCAGTATTGTAATTCATACGGAAACACTAAATGTAGGAACATTTTCTTGAATTCACAAGGAAAAATGAGACGAAACAGAAAGCCAAGACAATTATAAAGGGGAGAGGCACATTAGCATTGTTTCTCAATTACAGGACATTTGGAAAACCAGATACTTCCCCCAAACACATTGAATTTATAAAACAAAAACAAAAACAAAAAAAAAACCCACCCTGGACAGGAAGGCCATTAAATCAATGCCTTCCGTGCACCAACAGAACACTTAAAATCGAAAAAAAAAATTCAAGCAAGCAAGAGAAAACTATACAATGCATAGAAATGACCCACTTATAAAAGAAGGTTAGCGACCCATTTCTATCTGTTTCATTACGTTAAAATTCAATTTCATTCCTTTTTAAAAGCACAGGTGCATAATGACGCCCACAGCTGGGTCTCCGTGGGCCCCTAGGTGGAAACACTGCTTCTTGCCTCCCTCTCTCGGGGGGCCGTAAAACACTATTCCGTTCATGCACGGTCTCTCACACCTAAGGGATGACCTTAGCAGAATATAGCACCCCCAAAATAAGCCACCTCGGCACAAGGATTATTTTGAGCTGAAGGCAATTACAGAGAGCAGATAGAAGACAGCCCCAGTGCCGGTCACTTGCCTAAAAGCAGGACATACCCTGGGAAGGTGTCCCCCGCCCCCTCAGTACTTAAATCTCCGGAGACAACGCAAGACCCTCCTCAGCCTGGAGGTGGCGCCAGAGGAACCCATATAAAAAATCCTGCTAAAGGGGCCTCAGGTGACGCAGTGGGTTGAGCGTCTGACTCTTGGTTTCAGCTCAGGTCGTGATCTCAGGGTCCTGAGATACAGGACCGCGTTAGGCTCTGCGTTCAGCACGGAATCTGCTTGGGGTTCTCTCCCTCTCTCTCTGCCTCTCCTCTGCCCCCAAATAAATAATAAATCTTTTTTAAAAATTCCACCTAAAATCAGCTGTAAATATACAGGAGCCCTCCTCCCCACAGTTTGCATTGGCAGGGGTATGGGAGCACGGCCCACCTGCTCATTCTGTGTTTTGGCTTTTCTTTGGGCAGTTTGGATTCACATTTCATCCTAGAATCGTTTTATGGAGCGATCCCAAGGGGTCTCCCAAGGTACCGTTGTCCTACGGAGGGATGGAATCTCAGGGGCTGAAAGCACCCCAGGGGCAGGGTTCTGGGCAGAGGAGATGGATCCCTTGCAGCCCCCCCCCCCCCCCCCCCCGCCCCCCCCCCCCCGTCTAGAGCACCCCCCCACCTGCTGGGGGGAACTCCCACCCCCCCCAGGAATCCCAGAATTGCTTTGAAGATTATTTTAAGCTGAAGACATCTGGATTCAAGAGATGCAGAAGAAACATTTTTGGGGGGAGTTTCTCTTATCTGACTAAAAGCAGAAAGTTCTGGAAAATGAGGCTGCCATAAATTCCCTCTTTGGGGTCGCTTTTAGTGCCAGAAAGGACACCGAGGGTAAACCTACCATGAATGCCCTCTCTGGGCAGAGTTATATGGTCACGAAAAAGACTGGAAGACTTCTCACACTTGCACGAACAAGCATTATCACAAAATTTCTTATCTCCTGTTTTCTTCTGGAAAACTGCTTCTTCTTCCCATAGTGACCTTTACTCTCTCCTCCCTTTTTCCTACTGGTTAGGTACATAAATCCTTAACTTTTGCTATTTATGGAGCTACTTTTTTTCCTGCATGCATGGGAATACATTTTTCTCCCTCTTGTTCATCTGTCTTTCGTCATGTTAATTCGCAGGCCTCCAGAGACCGAATCTAAGAGGGTAGGTGACAAAGTTTTTCCTCCCTGACATCCTTAGAATGAAACTAAGGGAGTATGTGAACTAGGTGATGAGTGAATGAACATAGCCCAAAGACACGGGACTGAATCCAGGGGGGCTATTTTAACGTGAAGGGGGTGGAGTCCATTTAATGGGCAAGTCCACATCTTTCCCCCTCCTCCCTCATGGGAGGGGAGAACTCAAAATGAAGGTAGGTGCAGAAAACACAGCTATTATATTCTCACTCATACGTGAGATTTAGTATGTAAGTTTTACTCCCACCCTATAGAAGCAGAGTGAAGGAGGCCATCCTATATATGGAATTTGCCCCAACCCCAAATAGACCACTTTGGCATAAGGATCATTTTGAGCTGCTGGCACCTGAGAATGGACAGGTACAGGAGGAGTTCTCGGCCTCCTTATCTACATAAAAGCAGGGCACAGAACCCTTTGTGAAGGGTTCCCCCACCCTGTCCTGTGCCAGGAAGAGGAGAGGGACCCTTATCACTGGAGAGGGGCCACCAGCACTGAGAAGACACTTCACAGACAGACCTTACTAAAATAACCCGTATCGGCCATTAGTTCAACCACTGATTCCCTAGTCACGTCCCCACAATTTATTGGGCCCAGAAGCTGAAATCCCCATTCCTGTTGTCATGGAATCCCCTCAGTTTCTCACCTCTTTAAAAAATGGCAGGAAAGGGGCGCCTGGGTGGCTCAGTCTGTTAAGCGGCTGCCTTTGGCTCAGGTCATGATCCCGGGGTCCGGGGATCGAGCCCCGGTTGGCAGGGAGCCTGCTTCCCCCTCTCCCTCTGCCTGCCTCTCTGCCTACTTGCTCTCTCTCTGTATCTCTCTGCCAAATAAATAAATAAAATCTTTAAAAAATAAATAAATAAAATAAAAAATGGCAGGAAAGCTCCCTAGTCTGACCACTTCTTTGGGTGTTTACTTCTCTTCTGTGAATCTTCATGTATGTAAAAAGTTAAACTAAGAACAAATCTGTATGTCTTTCCTCCTGAAAAATCTGGCATTTGTCATTTTAATTTGCATGTCCCTATCCCCGGATCTAAGAGGATAGAGGAAATGCTTTTTCTTCCCTGACGAGAGCAATAGGAGCAGAAATCAAGAGCAGGGAGGGGACTCAACAGTCATTTCACAGGAATTCAAGATTTACAAGGAGTAAAGCCATAAGGCATGAGCCATGAACACTCACCTGTGGGAATTGCCTGGTGGGAGAGTCGGGCATGGTGGGAGAGTTGAGCGGGGTATATATTGTGCATTCTTGCTGACACACATTTCTTATGTAATTCCAGGTTAACATTCTTTTCCTTGAATCTAGCTGCATGTTTGTAATAGGAGATATATTCTCTTGTGCTGTAATTAAAAAAAAAACCAAAAAAACAAACAAAAAAACCCAGCAACACTTCGTAGGAATTAGACGCCCTCACCCCCAAGGTGATCTTATAGTTACAGGTGAGAGGAGACAATCTACAAACATCAGGCGTGGATTGTTACGTTTGTTTGTTTACTGAGGCCAAATTCACACACAAAACTAACCATTTCAAAGTGAACAATTCAGTGACATACAGGAGTCCATGAAAAAAAATGCTCAGATCCATTAGTTATCAGGGGAATGCACATCAAAACCATAATGAGGAGTCACTGCATACCCATAAACTTAGCTTTGGTAATAGCAATTTGAAAAATACAGAAAATAACTTGAAAAGTACAAGTTAGCTACTGCAATAATTTGAAAAATAAAGAAAATAATTTGAAAAATATAGAAAAGTTAAGTATAGTAATAATTTGAAAAATGCAGAAAATTTGAAAAGTACAAAAAAGTTAATTATAGTAATAATATTTTGAAAAATACAGAAATATACAGAAAATAATTTGAAAAACATGGACAAGTTAGTGTAGCAAAAATAATTTGAAAAATACAGAAAATAATTTGAAAAATACACAAGTTAAATATAGTAATAATTAGAAAAATACAGAAAATAGTTTGAAAAGTACAAGTTAGCTAAATAATAATGTGAAAAATAAAGAAAATAATTTGAAAAATACAGAAAATAATTTGAGGGGTGCCTGGGTGGCTCAGTAGGTTAAGTGTTTGCCTTTGGCTCAGGTCATGATCTTGGGGCCCTGGGATCAAGCCCCGAGTTGGGTTCTCTGCTCAGTGGGAAGTCTGCTTCTCCCTGTCACTCTTCCTCTGTGCTCTCTCTCTCTCTCAAATAAATAAATAAAATCTTTAAAAAAAAATGAAACTGGTAAATATTTTTAAAAAAGAAAATAATTTGAAAACTACAGAAAAGTTAGCTATAGTAATAATTTGAAAAATACAGAAAATAATTTGAAAAATACAGACAAGTTATCTATAGTAATAATAATTTGAAAAATACAGAAACTGATTCTTAAAATACAGAGAAATAAAAATACAAAAAAAATTTAAAATACAGAAAAAAGTTTAAATACAGGAAAAACAATTTGTAATACAGAAAAGAAGTACAGAAAAAATTTAAAATCACAGGGCAGGCTGTGGAGACATTGGGACCCTCTAAACCTTCTGGGACGGAACGCAAAGTGGGCCTTCCTGTGTCAATCGAATTGAGGGGCTTCCCTCTCAGGCCTTCGGGGTGAGCTTTGCCCCTTGGGATGGGGTTGGGAGTAGGGGACCTGATGCATTACCTGGACCAGGCAGGGACCTGCCACAGGTGAGGACAAGTGGAAACTAACCATGAGGACTTTAATTCTCCCTCTCAGGGGGGGAAAAAAAAGGTGGGGAAGGACCAATTAATTTACAACAACAGAGCCAAGAATATAGAATGGGGGATGAATAGTCTCTCCAACAAATGGTGCTGGGAAAAGCAGACAGCCACTTGCAAAAGATTGAAACCAGACCAATAACCAGATTCACAAAAAACTGACTCAAACTGGATGAAAGACTCAAAGGTACGACCTGAAACCACAAAACTCCTAGGCAAGAAAAAAAATAAAAACAAAAAGCCAGGTAGGTAACTTCTTGACATTGGTCTCGGCAATGATTTTTTTTTTTTTTCGACTTGACACCAAAAGCAAAGGCAACAAAAGTACAAAGAAGAACATGGCCCTTCATGGAGGGGCTATGCAAGTGTCACAAATCCAGAATGTCTGGCCCCAGATCTGGGGCATCTGTGAAATGTGATCGTCAGAGAAGTGAACGTCCGTCCCCAGCCTCAGGGAAGGAGAGGCACCCACCTTCCCCAGGAACCTGGCTCCAAACCAGGGGAGATTTCTCTCCCTGCCTCCTATGCATCCTCTTTGTTGGGTCACCTGCGGTAAGAGTTCTACATTCTCTTGCACCTTTGTGGAGAGGTTTTGCGGGTTAGCAGGAGATTTTTTGTTTTTAAAATGCATTTCTTAAAAGATTTTCTTTCTCCCTTTCTTTTCTTTTTAATATTTTATTTATTTATTTGTCAGAGAGAAAGAGAGAGAGAGCACAAGCAGGGGGAGCAGCAGAGGGAGAAGCAGGCTCCCTGGTGAGCAAGGAGCCCAGGACCCTGAGATCATGACCTGAGCCAAAATTGAATGGGATGCTTAACTGACTGAGCCACCCCGGCGTCTGAGACTTTTTCTTTTTAATAAGCTTTTCCCAGGACAGGCAGAAGGCCTGACACCCCAGCTGGGTTCGGGGTTTGGGGATAGAGTCTTCACCTTTTGGTCCTTGATTCTGCCAGAGGATAAACATTCACCTATAGTTGGATTTGCAAAAGGACCCCTTCCTCTACCAGAGCAGGGGGTGGGGTGGGGATGTTTCGGGTCTGGGGGAGGGATGTTTGTCTCCTTCCAGCGTTAGGGGCTATGGCAGTCCTGCCCCATCCAGACCCTGGCGTTGGAGCGCCTGCCTACGGTACCTACCCAGCTGTGCTTGTCCATGGCATGCTGAGTTCAGGAGGACCAGAAAGCTCACAAGATCCAGCATGGTCGCCATGCACCAGCCCCGAAGCTGCACCTAAACAGAAGGAGACGCCAGGTAAGAGATCAGATTCCAAAGGGGGCAGGAACCCTCCCTTCTTGGCAGCCCCCACGCCCTCTAGGGGAGTCACCAGTAATGAGCCTCTACAGAGCATGCAGGAGCTCTTGGCGTGCATCCCGTGTCCCTATTTGGCTGGCACTACCCCATCGGAGCATTGTGTGGGGCCACCGTCCTATTGCCACACCCCTGGGTCCCCCCCACCAAATCATAGCACCTCCAAAGCTCTGCTGGAACTCCCTTCAGAGCATCAATATGTTCAACATTCATCCCTGATGACCACTTTCTGCAAGCTGGGATTGAGCCAACTTTTCCCAGCAGGCATGACTTTCCCCTAGCCCACTGTCACTGGCCGTTACTGGTCCAGTCCACATTCCTGCTGCTGAAACACTTGTGTGGGGACCCATTCCAAACCCCAGAGTTGCTACTGGGATTATTTTAGGCTGCTTCTTTTGTACAGGGTGGCTGAGGGGTGGGACAGGTGAGACCTCCAGTAAAAAGAAGAAGGAATGTGTGGTGAGGATACTGGTCCACAGCAGCCACTTTGGGGTATGAGGCAACTCCGTCTGGCCTTGAGCCAAGCCCCTTGGGCTACCATTTTCCTATATCACAAAGGTCCCAGCGGGTAGGGACACTCCTGGCATCATCCTAAGCAACCAACCACGGTTCAGAGGGAGGTCACATGCCTTGGTGTCCATGTGATGAGTAGTGTCTTTAAAAGCCATCTGGAGGTGGGCAAGGAGCTGTGGAGCTGGCTGTGTTGCAAAAGCCAAAAAAAGCAATGAAAGTTTCTGGAATATTCTGCAGGAACCTCTTTCTGTGTCTGGTGATGGCAGGGGCAGTGTTTTGTATATTTGATCAGATATTTTTCTAATAGCTCTACATCAGTGCAGATCAGCAAGGGCTGGACACAAAGACAGGGGACGGCCTCAATGGCTGAACTGAAGTCACTGGGGGTGAGGCCACAGGTGACCTGGCCGGGGATGGAATATTTTTTTTAATTATTAATATTATTATTATTACTACTATTATTTAGAGAGAAAGAGAGGTAAGGGGAGAGGCAGAGGGAGAGAGAGAATCTCAAGCAGACTCCCTGTTGAGCATGGAGCCCAATGCAGGGCTCCATCTCGTGACCCTGAGATCACGACCTGAGCCGCAATCAAGAGTCGGACGCTTAATGGATTGAGCTGCCCACGTGCTCCAAGGATGGAATACCTTTGTAGAAAGAGCCAATACGAACTTGGAGCTCACCAGAGACTTGGGGTACACAACCCCCTCAGGACATTACAGTGTTTCAGCCCCTTTCCAGAGACCGTCACCAACCTCCTGGGATGAGAGACATTTATCTTCCTACCTGGAGGAAGCAGGTAAACTCCTTTCTGCTCTGTGTCTCATTAGCGAGCAAGAAGTCTTCCTACATAGGACAGACCAAGGGAGAAGGCTGGGAAAAGGGAAAGTCAGAGAGTAGAGGTTGTACGGGAGGAAAAAAAAAAAATCTTTTCCCTCTAACCTCTTAGATTCTGTTCCCGACACCTGCAAATTAAGCAGATAAAAGATTAACAGGAAAACCAGCCTTAACTACCTATATATGCATGGAGGTTCACAAAGAAAAATGTGGCTCAAGGAGACAGCCAGATGATCAGGGCTTATAAAGCATCTTCGATTCAACATCGGAAGGGGGTTTCTGGGTTCCAAATGGGGAAGAACAGTTATGGGGAAAGGGAAAGCAGGAAATGTGTGGTAAATACCGGCTCTTCTTAATAAGAATCTCTTATATGATAATAAATCTGTGGGTGTGGTCATGTTCCTGGTAGAGAACCATTTTTACCATTAAAAACTTCTTTTACGAATGTAATTTTCCTTTCCCAAGGGAAACTTGATGTCCCCTATTTTCTGGCAGTTAGGGAGGTATATAGAGCTTTTTCCTGCTTCTGCTGGTTCTTAACGGCTTGTTGCCCGAAATCATCCATATGCCCAAGAGGTACATTGTGGGGTGGGGTGGGGTGGCGCCCTTCAAGGCTGACCTTGGCCCCTCCGTGTGGGGTGCAGGGCTCTATAAACCAGAGCAGTGGGTGGGAGGGGGGGTGCTCTGGCTCAGCCTGGCGGAGACCACCCCTGCTGGAAGGCGTTCTCAATGCACCTGTTCTGGGTCAGTCCCAAGGCAGGGGTTGGTCTGCCTGTGCCTGATGGTGGTGGGTCTCAGGCGCATCCTGGCTCACAGCTTCCCGCCTTCCCCTTCAGGGGGTGGCCCTGCCATGCCACCGACACCACTCAGCCACTCTGGGATCATTGCTGAAAAGTTCCCCCCCAAGGAAGGAAACCTGAGGACATATGTGAGCTACAAAGGGAAACCCGAGGTCTGTTTGGAGGTGCACGTCCAGGGCAGGAAGAGCCCATGTGGCCGGGGTCGGGGGAAGTGAGCTCTTTGGGGAAGGGCCAGCGCTGGATTGGGCTCCGTGTGAACACAGACCACAGAAGGGCCACACAGAACCTCAGGGTCAGCCGCCGGAGAAGCTCAGAGGGGACAAAGCCAGGCCAAGCGATAAGGTTCCAAAGGGGCGTTTGAAGCGGCTGAGTTGTGCCCCCTAAAATTCACGTGTCAAAACCCTTGCTCTCAGGACCTCAGAATGGGGCTGTATTTGGAGGTGGAGTCTTTAAAGAGGGGATTAAAGTAAGGTGAGGCCATTGGGTGGATCCTGATCCCATAGGATGGGGTCCTTATAGGAAGAGGGGATAAGGGCACAGACACGCACAGAGGGACGACCACATGAGGACACAGGGAGGACATGGGGGTCTACACACCAAAGAGAGAGGCTTCAGGAGGAACCAGCCTCAGCCCCGTCTGGATCTCAGAC